CTCGACAGACCTGGAACCTCGGCGTTGGCGAGCAGAGGGGAGGGTCGCTCCAAAAACCCGGAATCCAATACATTAGCTTCATCCATGATGAAACAAATCTTTTCGCCTTTGCAACCAGCCCTACGAAGAACGCTTCTAAGGTCTTCGTCAAAGTCTTCGCCGGAATATTTCCCATGTACTTTAATTTGGAAGACTTTGAGACCATTCATCCAGGCAACAAATCTAGACAAGGTAGTCTTACCACTACCGCTTACTCCAATTAAAATAAGGTGGCCCTGGGGTTGACGGAATACTCTGTCAATACGAAGAGCATGCTCCAAAACATCATTGAAAAGTACGAGAGGTACATCAACCTCTTCCTCGCAGAAAGTGCGTAATCGTGCCTTGACAAAGTCCCGTAGTTGCTCTTGCTCCACTGGAACATAATTTTTAGAGAGCCAGTTCGAGAAGAGAATCGGGGAGCTTAGGGCCGCATTTTCATCAATGTTCGGGAAGTGTTCCAGAGCAATCCGTTTGACAGACTCAGCAGTCCACTGCTGCTCACTTTCGTCTACAAGACGATCTTGGAACAATCGTAGCGCTTCGTGGGCCCAAATTCGAACGAGTCCTTCAATGGACAAAGTTTCAAGTGGTTTGATTGCTTCGTACACACCACGTACCCACCTAGTAAGTTCTCGTGGGGAATAAACATAATGAGGTTGAATCTTTGTAGTAAATCTGGCTTGGGACTCTAGGTAGAATTGCACCATCGCTTTCGTGAGAGCCTCCGAATATCCTCGGAGCATTGGGATAATTTTGAGGACTGCGGAGTTGAATGTACCATAAATCTGCAGCAAGGATATTTCTCCAGGGTAATCTACCATAACCAATGGCGCATGTCGGAGGAACCGCGCACCCAGTGGCGTTCGACCTGCATCAGTTGGAGGGTTACATGCACCGACGAATTGGATTCTATCAAGAGTAATCCAGGTCTTGTCCGAAGTTCGCCAAAAGCCGTTTTGTTCAACAAGCTGCCTCAGGAAGGAAATTGCACGCTGAGTTCCATATTGGTCCCGTGCTGGAAGGTTGATTTCGTCACAGAAAATAACTAGCCAGCGACCAATTTGGCTGGGAGACATCACTACACCATTCAATGTCTTCTTATATTCACAATACTGTTCGAACGTTTTGATCAGCAAGTCAGGCGTTGTAGCACTAGAAAAGTTAAGTCCAACAACCTCCATGTTCGGTAGCTTTCTCAAGGCAGAGAACAATGTCATTGTCTTTCCAGAACCAGGTGGGCCACAGAGAAGGAGTGGTTTATGCTCAGCAAGCCAAGAATACAGGACATCCTCATGGCGAACGGTATCTAGAGTTGGGATAATAACATCTGTCTGTGTGACTGAGTGGGTGTTGATCTCGATGGAAGGCACTTGTGACTGCCATGGTGTCCATTCGGCCTTAGGTAGTGAGACATCGTAATCAATTAGTGATGCAGAATCACCTAACACCGGGGTATCAGTCGAAGAGAAAGCAACAACGTATTCGCCGAATTTCTTTCTCTCGCCAAGAGGACAGTCACCGGTAAGCGACCATACAAGCGCTAGAAGGAGCTTTTTTGACATGTAGGATTCCGCTTGTTCAGGTTCTAATGGGAAATCGACATGTTGAATGTTATACTCAAGAATATTTCGGCAAGCTTTGTTCAACAGGCTGAACAAGGTACCAAGGGCACGAATGTCACTGTAGTCCATGATATGGGTGTATTGTCTGGCTTGTTGCAAAGCATTAAGTATAACATCGCCCCTTAATAGAAGTTCCCCAAGGAATGTTGCAAGAGCCTCTTGGGTAGCCAAGGTCTTTTCGGAAGACTGGCCAGCAGGCACGCTATCATCATCCAGGTCCTCAAATGTTTTCTCCTTGAGGGCCTCAACATAGTTTGTGATCATCATGGTTGAAGTAACAGTATCATCGTTGAACCACACCATGCCACAACGACTAACAGTAGCGAGAGTAGCATACTTGAGATTCTCGACCTCGAACATGACCCGGACATTTTGAGGGAGATTTAGACGCTCTCCATTTGGCAGAGTAAGTAGCTTGTTATCGTCCAAAACACTGTTTAGATTTTCAACCCATTCAGGGTCAACATCACCATCAAATACAATCCAATGGCGTTTTGAGTCTTCACCACGAAGGTTATCCACGACCTTCCTAAGGATGCCAGTGAAAAGGCCATCTGTCCATTCACGAGTGGTATTATCAAGGTTCCCGTACAGGGCCTCTTTAGACATAACCTTGGAGTCGATGATGTGAGAAACGCCTTCCACGCCCTCAACGCGTTGTAGAGCTTGCAGGAGGACCTTCCATGCTGCACTCTTGCCTGACCCTGAGCTACCTACCATCATCACACCATGGTGGATACTTTGAATCTGGTACAGCTGTAAAATCTTCGCGATCCAAATATCTGAAGCAACGTAATGATTTTCAGCGGCGATATCCCTGATTGCTTGGGTAAGTTTTTCGAAGTTGGCCGGGACATATTCAACCCCAGGGAAATCACTAGCTTGAATTTCTAACAGAGTCTCAACGTCTTCTTGAATGAGTTTGGGGGCAATCGTTTCCCGAATGCTTTGAACAATAATCTGTGGCTCAATGAACTCATCTGGTCCGATATCCCCTTCTGAATTTGCAAGACGAAGTCGTTTTAGCCCACCTGAGCTTACGAGGACACTCTTTAAAGCACGAAGCCCAAAATCGTAATGGGCCTGTTTTGTGAGGCGGCTCGCGCAGTGATCGAAGAAGGGCACAGTTTGTCTAGAAAGAGGCTTTGCTTGTTTGAAGCCTTGAGAAAAGAGCATAACTTCCGCAATAAGCTCCTTATCGGGTTTGGACATTGCAACACTTCGGAATAGTTTCTTCAAGTTATCTGGCAAGTTTGAACGGCCAGCATATCCAGGATTCATTGTAATGAAAATTCCGGTATTCATGTTAACTCGTAATTGACGCCCGACGAGATCAATCTGGGCCTTTGTTTCATCCTCGCTGTTTTTCAGGCCAATCTGAATGTTTTGTATCTGCTGAGAGACCGCAGACAGGATTCGTTCTTCAAGACGGTTAAACTCATCGAAACACCCCCAGGCACCTACCTGGCAGATACCCAGGAAAATTCTGCCCATTGCTTGGAAGTCAAATGTATCATCACAACAGAAGACTAGAGTAAATCGGCCAAGCTGCAAACCAAGGGCTTTAACGGACTCCGTTTTACCAGTTCCAGCAGGCCCGTACGGAGATCCACCTAATCTTTGACATAATGCTTGTGTAAGAGTTAAGAAACATCGGTCTGTAAGTGGTGTGCGGACAAGGCGTTCTGGAACACCTAAGTATTCGAAGCCGTAGCTTAGTTTTGCATTCGCCATATGGACGTGAAGACGTTGCAAGAAATCTCCAGTGGGCTGATAGACATATCGCATTTGCAAAAGCCATAAGTAATGAGTAGGTGAGGAAGCTTTGAAGCTCATGAGTTTTGCTATCGCATCTCTTTGATGAACAAACTCGGTGATCAAATGTTCACATTTCTTGCGTGTAATAGGATCTAGGTCGCCTAGGACGGTGAGTGCGAGAATATTGAGGACTCTGACTTCAGCATCATATAACGCTGATAATCCCTCACCGCCGGCTTCAAGGGCTTTCTGAACAGCATTGGTCCAGACTACCTGGCTGCCTAACACGACAATTTGAGCTGGATAGTTTGCGATGTAGTCTTGGAAAGCAGTGGAGTCGACTTCTGGGGCGCTGTAAATAGGTTCAAATTGTTCAATTGCCTCCGTCAATAGCTCGGCTAGTGTCAACTTCACGTTGTTGTCAAGCGCAGTAAGCCAATCATTTATTCTGGGTGTCTTTGCCAATGAAACTTCACGCTTTAACATGACTTCCTCTCCTTCCTTTGAACTAACCCCAATGATGTTTCCATCATCATCAATCAGAAGACCTGAAAGTCCAGCAAACATCTTCTTGAAATGTTTTGCGACTCGGAGGGTATCATTGCTGTTGCCAATTATTTCAAGGAGATCCTCATCTCCAACGAAATAGAAGCGTGGGAACGATACACGTTCCTTTTCTAGGTATTCACCCAGTGCCTTTTGAATCTTGTGGAGCAACTCTGCTAGCCTTTCAAGTGACTTTTGAACACCAGTAATCGCCAGCACGTCTAGTATCAGAGGAGATTTGTACACTTTCTTCATGACGGCAAAGAACTCGGAGTTGATATTTTGGAACCTTCCAGATTCAAGGGGCAAGAGATGTTTGATATCAGCATTCCCGGTAAATACCCCTTCTAGGTAAACCCACTGCCTCTGGACATCGATCCAAACATCGAAGAGGACATGCACTCTGGTGAGTTTATCCTCCCAAGTCGTGGCTTCTTCCTCGAATTCTTTATAGTACGGGGAATGCCTCATTGCCTGAAGAGAGTTCAGGTTTTCACTACATTTAGCAAACAAATCATCAAATCCGCGGATCAAGCGGCATTTGTTTTGGTAATTCACAAGATCTAAGGTATAGCTTTGCCAGGTTTCGCGAACACTTCGCAAGAACTCTTCCAGCGCCATTTCTCCCTGGGCTTGTGTAATGATATCTCGGATAACTGTTTCGCTGGGTCCAAGTTGCAGATCCCAAACGTCTCCAAGAGTCATGGATATCTGCGAGAACCGCTTTCCCGGCTTGAGAGCCTTGAAGATCTTCTGCCAATGGCGCTCACGAACGGCCTCAGATTTCATGTCTGCGAGTAGTGGGTTAACTTTAAGAAAGCCTCGGAGCACATTCTGAATATGCTCGAAAGCCGCATATTGGCGCATTCGACTGGGCATTTCTTTTGTCATTTTGATGAGCCCATCTAGAGACTGACGGAGTTTACGTGGCTGGATACTATTCCAGAGTGTATCACGTAATTCATTTAAGCTCTTCCATATTGTTGATAGAGCGGCCCATACAGCCATGAAATCTTGCACTTCCTCCAGGATCGCCGCAAGTGTAGTTTCAGGGCTGCTAGGCAGGTCAAGGGCTTCTTTCGCTTTGGACACCATTTCTGATTCCGATTGTAGCTTCTCAAGGCGGGATTGGAAGTAACTGAGTGTTGCAGAAGCCTCTTCTGGGGGGGTTGATCCGGAGACCGGTTTTTCTTCATTCCACTGGTGAACAGCTTCTACAATCTTCTCATTAATAACTCTATCCTCCGCAGATATCTTCGCTCTTAGAGCATCAGTCTGGTCTTGCACGGTTTTACTTCTGCGTTCTAATATTTCATTCAGAGCATCCCACTCTCCAGAAACTCGATCAGCGGGTAGCCAGTCACTAGGAGCTTGGTACCGCTGTCGTATAAGGGTAGCTTGTCCTTGCAAGAATAAGTCGATCTCTGGTTCCCAGAGTTTTGCCTTTCGTTTGCATTGCTGGACAATGGTGATAAATGAAACAGCTTGGGCGGTCGAAGAAGCTTCCAGCGACTGGCCTTCCAAATCTCGTCGTGCTGCCTCAAGCTCAGCGTGCACATCTCGCATGCGGGTCCCAAGCTTCCCAGCAAATTTCAGCAAAATCTCCCTTTGCCATTGGTCATATTTTGCGTTGACCTTAGTCTGGACTTGCTCATAATCGATGCGAACATTCCCAAACGACCGTCGAACCTCAGACGTGTCAAATGTACCACGGCTTTTGCGAATTTCATGTAGAAGTTGAAGCCATTGAGACAGGTCTTCACCGAGGATATCGTATACATGGGATGACTGGAGGTCCCATAATGACTGGAACTGAAGCCATTTATCCACATACTCCGAGATTTCCTCTAGTCGTGTTTCTATAAGGGAGTACACTTCATTCAATTCTTCCGAGCAATATTGTGGAATATCAGAAAAGTGTGTCTCAGAATAGGAACCGTTGTCAGCATGGATTGACATCTTATATCTTGAGGACTTTATCTTTTCGAGGTTGCAAAGAATGCCCACCCATTCGTCAAAATGAGCGTACCATGAAGCTCTAGCGTATTCTAGTGGTGGATCGAGATGCATGACCTGGTTTTTCATAGAAATCTCGTGGAGTGACTTCGGAAATTGAATGTATGATGAGTCCTGCTCCTCTCCGCTACCATTAGCCTCTATATTGTGGCCAGTTTGCTCATCCCCCGCATGTTGGAAGGACGCGATCCAACGGCGAAGAGCACCCCGAAGTCGGTCTTGGAGAATTGTTTCAATTTTGCTATTCAGGTTTGCAACCCAATACCCAAGATTTGCGTAATTTTCGAGGTTAAGTTTGTCAATTGCGATCTGAATTTGATCAATGCGATTGCGGAAGACAGTCACATCATAAGGGCAAGTCTTAAGAGCAAGAATGGCTTTCTGAATATTGTCATCCATGGTGGCCAACGTTGCAGTCTTTGATTGCAGTACAGAAGTGGAAATTGCAAATTCACGAACAAATTGAACGTGCTTGCTTTCACCGCGGCCGGGGCCGGCAGCAGAAGGATCTGTTGGGCCATTCGCAAGACCTTGTTTGACATGAATCTCATAGGAATGAATGAACGACTCCCACCTCAGGGGAAGGCCTTTTACTATCAGCGCCTGAACATCGTTTTTATATCCATTTAGCAGAATTGCAGACTGTGACATGGATGCAATTGCTCTGTCCGTCTGGTGTAGTGTCCGTACACTCTCCATCAAGCTAATTGCAAATGGATAAACGCGCTTGGCCTCCTTTGACACGCTAGTAATTGCATGTGGGATTTGAAAGTTCAACCAAACAAGATTCCGGACCTCCTTGAAAAGAGCAATGATCTGAGCATCGAAGTTAACAGCTAATTCAAGCGAATTCCCAGCTGCTCGGTTTCGAGAAATAACGAACAATCGACCAGAGATAGCAATATTTCGTCGCTTGACATCCTGTACCCAGGCTTGGAATACTGGTCGAGTGTCTAACTTCTTGCGAAACATATTACTTTCAGCCTGTAATTTTTGCCCGTCTGCGTGAAGATCCCAGTCTTCACCAAGGACGTCCTCAACTTTTCGCATATAACCATCCAGCTGCCGTTCTATCTGCCGGGCCCAGATAATAGCTCCCGAGACAGGTGGCAGATCTCGAAGCTGCGCCATTGCATGAGCTTCTGAGTGGCCATACTGTTGCTTGAACCGTTCATGCAAAGCTGCAATGTCCTGCTTTACATTGTCGATGAGCTTGGTCTGGTACTCACCAATTGCACTTCTAATCTTCGGTCGTACAAGCAATGCATTGAACTTCGAAAATACTCTGAATTTTTCGTTGGCATTTTGGGCAGTGGCAAGCTTATCACGGAGCCGAGCAATCATCAAATTTTCAACGCGAGAAGTGCGCTCGTTGTAGGCAGATTCTGCCTGAATCCATGCCTGAGTTCCCTTAGGGCTGACATCGAGAACATCCACATCCTTTAGAGCGTTGTACGCCTGAGCAACCTGCTCTACAGCATCAACATCGCCAAACTCTTCCAGGGCAGCCGAGTTATCCGCCCCAGCAGACAGGGATGTTGCTCCTTGGTTCGATTTTGTGCCGAGTACATTAATTATTGTTCGCTGAAGCTGCTCATGATTTGTGCGGAAGGTATTAATAAACTTCAGTCGGTCCTGGGTTTCTGCATGTTTTGGTTTAACCTTGATGGGAATAAACTTCTCGTTGCGTCTCCTCATAGCATCACGAGCAACATTGGTAAATTCTTTGATATTCTCATCCCAGGTTCGCCAAACAATCTGAGCAGCGCGCATGAGAGAATGGAATTCAGTGTAATCATAGTGCATTATACTCCGCCCGGGAATCAGCTTATGGATTGTCAAGTCCAGGTCTCCAGAAATCGCCGCAACCAGGGAAAGGGCACGTTTAATCGGGTATGGACAAATACGTAGTTTCTTGTTCAGGTGAGAGAAAATGAGATTCAGAGCTTCTTGCACTTTTTGGAGTGAGGTTGCAGACTCTAGTTCATCAAGTGGGAAATCACGAAGGAGTTGATTGTATTTCTGCACTGTCTCCATAGCTTCCTTCAATCCAGTGTCAGCAGAGAAACTTAGCGTAGTTGAAAATCGTTTCGCGTGTCGAAGAACATCCATCGTAAGTTGTACTCCAGCATCGCGTAGAGCTGTTTCAATACCCTCGAGTGCAGACTCCATTGATAGCCAGAAATTTATCTCCTGAACTGCAGACCCGTTGTCAGGGTCTCTAGACATTTTAGTAATAGCTTGAATTGACTTTATCCATCCATTCACGTTATTTTGTATGCTGTTGATGACTGCATGGTTGTCTAACACAGCTGGAGGGACCAATTCGACGGACGGTTCGATGCCCCGGCTCTGGGCTTCGTCTAGGGCAGCCTGCACAATTTCGTGCAATGGAAGGCTAAGGGCTGGTATCTCAATATTCTGCTGTAGATGTGACAGGGCAAGCTCGAGCTCTGCGAACTTTTGCTTTGCACGAACCTCTCCGGTCTTAGGGTCGGTGTCATTCCTCCCTTTCGACCCTTGGATGCTATCATGTCCACGAGTACATGCCTCGTAGTACGGTGACAATCCATGATGAACGAAGGAGTATATGATCTCGTACGGCGAGATTGGCGGACCCTGGGGGCTGGATGAATTATTTAACGAGGCAAACCCAGGGAGGGTAAGGACCTGAATCTGTGAATAGAGAGGAATGGCTGGGTCGATGGGTTGCCCCGGCTTGAAGAACGCCATAGCTGCAGTGGTGGTGGGAGATATTGATAACTCTGAGCCGAGAGTGTAGACATAGTGGATATGCTCTGTTGAAGCTATATATACCATCAAGGTTAACTAGCTGAACATCTCTATCTTTCCCTTCCTATGACTCCGGCACTTACGGTCATCTTCTGATCCATTAATTTGCTCCGGTCCAGCAGTATCTTTGTGCGCATATAGAGCTATCTGCGCTTCAGAGGCGAAACGTCCGCATCTTTGGAGGGTCTCGGAGTACTTTGCTTGTGACAGCAAACTGCCAGTACTTTCAAGGTCTCTCCTTAAAGCGCCAAGTGTTCCCTGGATAACGTCGGCTAGGTAGTGAAGCACAACCTCTGGGTCAATAGTTATCGAGACTGTCGGCGAAGGGATGCCATTTGACGGCCCTGGAGAGACGACCTCCATGCTCGTAGACTTATAGTACGCGACCTGTCGCTGTCATCGAGAGTTATGGTAAGAGTGAGAAGGTGAGTCTCATGGGAGGAATCGACCTAATATGTGGTGGTCGTGATGTGTCTTTTCGACTGGCGGAAATATGTGCTTTAATAGCTTGGGCCTTCAGGTCTTGATCTTCATCGATCTTTGGGCTCCAAAAATCAAGTCCAGCTTCACCTTTTTTTTTGTTCAACGCGGCGTGTTTATAGGGTCATGTGACTACGGAGAGGTCAGGGGTAATTAGTGTTAATGACTAAGCCAGGGGCACCTCGAAACATCAAATTCAATTTCAAGCTTTCTAGCTCTGAACTACATAACTACCTGGCTCAGGGGCAACATGAAGATGATGGAGAGGAGGAAGAGGAACACTTGGCGATGCATGTCTAAGGAACGATGATACTATGCATGGGGTTGTTGAGCAGTCAATTTAATTATTCTGCTTTTCAAGCTCCCCTTCTTCACGCTCCTCCTGCTTCTCCCGGCAATCACACTTGTACGTTGCCCGGAATTCTGCAGTGCTCATCTGCTCCAGTATCTGGAGGGCATTTTGGCTTGCCTTCAACTTGGCATGGCGGGGAGACGTGGCAACTCCCTCAGCCACGATGTCGTTGTGGACACAGACTGCAGCCAGAGCGCGTATGGTAGTGCCGTCAACGCATGGTATTTCATCTGCTTTCAAGGCGTAAAACGTGCAGCCAAAATCTACTGCGAGTCTGGTGTGCAGGAAAGTCTGAAAAAGGAAATATCAGTCAACTTGATGCAGTTACTTCAGTTTCAGGCAGGGACCATGTAACATGAGTAGGAAATGAGGGGATATCACGCACAATCGGATGCTTATTTGCGAATGTGTCGTATACAGTCATATCTTCGAAGTAATGTTGAATAAATCTTTTGAAGAAGTCGTCAATGACATCGAAGTTAAAGTTCGAGTCCACAAATATCGCACCAAGGTATGCCTCAACAATATCCGGCAGACACTGGTTAGAAGTGTAAGTCTATTTCCTATAACAGTTTGAGGACAGATGAGTACTCACCTTTGGAGGTTCATTTGTATATGTCCAAGCCTCAAGGTTTCCACCCATTTCCATCTTCATAGCTTGCAATTCTTCGGTATAACAGGTTATTTGGCCTTGAAGCACGTTGCTGATATGGATAAGATGCACATGAAGATTGAGGCCGACGGCGAGAGAGCCAAGGAATTTGTTGGATACCATTGCCATCTGATCACATCAGTACAGCATAGATTGGTTTAAAGAGGGAATGTTGGGCTTACCTTGTGTTCGGTGAGCCACTGGGGATCTTTGTCTGGGTATTTTGTAAAGAGGTGATTCACACAGGCCATATCTAGTAAAGAATCACCCAGGAACTCCAAGCGTTGGTAACATGGAACGTTCGCCCATTGAGACGGATACGAAGGATGCATGAAAGCGGATCGAAGAAGTTTTGGATACTTAAAACGATAGCCCAGCTTTTCTTCGATCTGATTAGCAACGTCAGCCTCAGATGCAGTGGCAGCTGCTGTTTGGTAGGTCGTTAAGGAGTATAATGTAGAATAATCTGCCCATCTTTCCACACGATGATCATCGCTGTTAACGAAGATTGTAACTGCTTTCGTAGCCATATCAAATTTATGGTCTGGACCACCAGCTAGAAGGGATGCCCCAATTAGAGCCTCACAGACGTCCGCAATACTTTTATCAGCAAGTGCATGCGTAGGGCCACCTGGATTCTCTTTCTTGTCTTTGCCTTTGAGTAGAGTTAAGCCCTCTGGGTACCACCCTCGTCTAGGATCATAGTTAGCGTTTCGTGAATTTAAAGGAGGGAAATCGAAGATATCTTACCTTGAAAAGGATTTGCTGCGGATGTACTTAAATACCTCCAGAATTATGGCATTGTTGAACAGGTTCTGGTTACAAATAAGCAGCATTCGCTTGACGTGGAAATCATATTCATCATTGTCTGGATTCATGGCAAAGAGTGAAATTGATGTTGCCATCTTCAAGAAGCAATCGCCTAGGAACTCAAGCCGTTCATAGTTCTTCCCCATCCCACTCTGGAAACGAATCTGTTCAAGGCCATGTTCTTCTGTGTTCTCCGAGTCCTTAGTTAATGCCTCAAGGGCAAGCTCGGGAGATATTTTTAGCTGAAGTTTTTCACAGGCCTCCAAGGCAATGAGATAAGACTCCATTCGACTAATCATCGCTGGGAAAACAAATATGAGTGTTGCCACTGGCATGGGAATCTGAAGAAATGAGTCAGCCCAATTCTTCGTTCTACAGCATAGGCACATACCGAGGAAATTTTTAGGGCCTCTGCGCAGATATAATAATCCACGGGGGGCCCTTTCTTATTCTCATCTATGTCAAGGAAATTTCGGCGAAGCTGAATGAGCTCTGCGCGCAAGACAGGCTGATCCCAGTTGCACTTTGCCAAAAATCTAGCACGTGAATTCTTGAATAAGCTGAGGCCATAGTTCATGATGTTGTCCATATAGCGGCGGCGAGCCACATTCTCTGGGACTGGATCTTTGGGATGTCGGGCTGGATCGACTTCGATTGAAAAGTAACGGTACCTCCCATCCCATCTGTCCACTAGGAAACGGTTCTCTAGAAAGTCAGTAGGCATCTCAGGTGACCAATGAAGCTCTTCCGTGTCCCGGATATATTGTAACATTTGCCAGTTGATTATCTCGACGGGATTGGACTTTTTGATGTCTGGTATATCATCAAGTTTTGCGGGAGCAATCCAGTAAGACACCAAAGATGAGTCTTCTTCGTAAATTTTATGGAAAACGTCCTCAAAAACCCTGAACGTGAAATTAGTCAACAGATCCAGTTCAACTGGCAGAACTTTTAGCGCTTTGTCGACTCTAATGCTGCAGCTACTGCATTTCGTGTTATTTTCCAGATATAGCGGGAAAGAGGGGAAGTCGGGCATAGGAACTCTTGTTAATAACACAAGTGGGTGATACTTTTTTCGAAGGCCCTCAGAGTTTGAGAGCGAGAGAATAGTGGCGTATAAAACAGTTGGAGAGTCTCCGCGAGCATACTCCCATGCAGCTGGCTTCGATATCATACGATACTGGTTGCTTTTCTTCGACGTGATAGCCAGTCGAGCATTTCTCATTGCAGGCAGGCGTTTATGGTACGTCGAAATAAAATAGTTGTCGAGCAAGCCATTTTTGCGAAGAATTAGGCATGTCTCGAAAGCAGCGGATTGTTTTGCGAGAAGCTTACGAGAGGCGGGCTTGCCCATACATCCTCGAACTGGAGATTTTTCGGGGAGTATTGCTTCACAAATGAATGCACCGTCTTTTACATGAATGACATAACTGACTTGAGCTGACAGCTCTTTCTCATATTGCTATAAATAATTAGCCCTGTTAATTCAACCACAGGAATCCATCCTTACCAGACTGCTTGCATAGTGTGCAAGGACGGCAAGTGATGAAGGATAGGTCAACTTTGCGCCTGTGCTTTTGATGGTGTAAGACTTTCGCTGTCTGTCTTTTTCCAGTATTGAATCAATATCATCCATTCCTTTTAATAGTCTGTTCTCCGGAAGGGATTTGCAGAATCGAACCAAAATTTCCTATAAATAGAGCCCCAAGGTTAGTCTACCTGTAATACGATGAGAACTGCTTTAGCTACAAACCTCTGCGCGGCGAACTTCTTCAACCACAGACTCATGGATCAAATTATTACGCTCCACCATGTGGACAAACTGATAAAAAGACGTTAGCCTGATTTGTGATAATAGTAGAAACGAGGTCCTCACAGTAGACTCTATATGCCTAGCTCTACCTCTGCTCTGAATATACTGGATAAGTGTAGAATAAAGGTCGAATCTGAGATTGAAGTCAGTACTGCAGTTAATTATATATATTGGTCAAGTTCATTCACTCTTACCGAACAATGAGATTGCAATCTTGAATATCTAGCCCTTCCTCGGCAACAGAGGTGGCAAACTAGTGAGGTTAGCTGGCTACTGCAATAATAAAGAAAGAAAAGAGATAATCTCATACCAAACAATTGATCTCTCCCTTTCTAAATGCTATCACATTCAAAAATTGTTCTCGGAAAGAGGTATCTAGCCCAATTCTATCACCACCAGATCGAACACCGACTAGTAAATTTGGTCGAATATACTGTGACCCGATTTTCTTGAACAAATCCCTGAGGATTCTTGCTGTGTGGCGCTGTGCTGTAAAAACAATACACCTGGTATCTGGATTTTCTTTAAACCGCCGCAACAGCTCATTTTTCAGTAGCTGTACCTTAGGGCTTAAAAGCCGTGGGTTAGTGACCGGGTCACCAAACTCATGGTCTCTGACAATAGCTCCTGCAGCTCTGATTCTCTCGGTTTCTCTGTCACGATCAGGCTCACTAGGCAGATTTTTCATTATGGGTTTATTCGACCGGGCTTCCAACTTTGGCAACGTTTCTTCATTTAAACAGTAGCTCCACACCCAGTCAGAGCACCAACTTCCTAGAGCCGAGGATGTCTCAAAGGAGAATTTGAATATCTTTTCCAAGACTTTAATATCGCCAAACTGCCGACAAAGCTGGCTATGGAGTGGCGTCTCAAAAGGCAATTCAAGCCTATCATACTCCCAGATTTCTTCCCTTGGCCGCGCCACGCTTTGTCGAAGAAGGGAAGGGTTTGATGCTGTAGCTATCTGGCTATCAAGCATAGTTTCGAGAGTTCTGGTTTCAAATCGTCAGTCTAGTTCTATATGCTCGGCGGTTAGGAGTACATACTTTGCAGCACTCACGACCTGGACCTTTGCATCTACTGGCGATGCTGTCATGCCAAATATCTTTGGCTTCCTCTCTGGCTCCCTCATATAAAAGTCCTTGATGATCCTATTCAACAAGATTAATTCATTGGCCTTTGTATGTGGGTACCAAAGCATTTTACCTAGCGTAAGGGTGCTCTTTTTTGGCATGATGAGCTTCATCGAAGATTAACAAGTTGATCTGGCTTATTCGAATAAAGGAGTGGAGCAGGCATTGATGAAGCACTTCGGCAGTGCAAACAATAACCATATTTTTCTTGAAATGGCCCTCCCATACCTCCTTGTTCCATAGATCTGTCCGCATTGCGCCACAGAATTTGTCCATTTTCTGGGCAATATTGTTTTGTAGTACTGCAGCCTGCTGATATACAAGTGTAACACTGTCGACCTACCTTATAATTAGAGTGAGGTTATTTGAGTATGTAGTCTAGAAAACTAACCAAAAAAAATGAGATACGAGGTGGTCGCCCAAGGCTGCGGTCGGCCAGTTCCTGTTCAATGACATGCTTGAGGAGAAGAACAGCTATGAGTGTTTTTCCAGATCCTATTCGATGGTAAGTAAAGACTTATAATCTCGGGATAGGTTTCGTACCAGTATCGAGAACAGCAATGATGTTTTTCTCTTTTGCCTTCTCGAAGAGTTCTAGCTGATATTCACGGGGATCATGGATAATAGAGGCATAGTCCTGTTTGGCAATAATATTTGTCATTGACAGCTGCGTATCATCTTTTGCTCTAATAACAGCTTTAACGTCTTCCTCTGTAATAGCCTCCGCACGCCGTGACAGCCTAAGATATAGAACTAATTAGAGACGCTCATTTAATTGTAGCTTGCAAATCACGTACAATTTCTTGAATTTGTAGTCGAGAGCCCGCCGTTTCTCGCTGGGGTTGGCCTGATTCAACTTTCTCTCTTCTTCAGTATCAGACTCAGTGGTTTCTCCTGACTGAGTTTCAGGAGCAGAACTAGCATTAGGAACCTGGACACTCTCCCGGTTCAATGGCTGGACGACATCCGCAGCCGCATCCTTGTCAGTATCGGAATGGCACCCCATGGTGCCGGTGGCTTTTGGTTTAGAGCACAGAAGTGGTCGGTTGTAATAGTTAAAGTTGATCAAGCGTCGTTAGTCGTAAAGGTATACCTTAGGGCAAAAAAAAAAAAAAAGAAGAAGAAGAAAAACAAAGTTAATAGTGAAGGCCAGAAAAGTGAAAGGAACTGTCACATTCTAGGGCAATTTATGTGTTTGTTGTCACTCTCATACCCTAAGTCAATAGATAGTGAGGTTTCCTTCAGTTAACCACAGCCACTAAGCGTATACAAAGAATCTAGACAGTGCGTTTTATTCATTGTGCTATTAGCTCCATGATATATGTTATGCTGCATCAACCGTAAATGGGTCTGAACTGAGGTTCATACAACAGCCATGGATGTCTGTTGATGACAAAGGATGAGGGGGTATGTAGTTGTTAGTTTTTGCAGTACATGTCTATAAAGAAGTACTTCCTAGCTACTTTAGGATCAAAGCTGCAGGTTCCAATGACAAGTAAATGCCACTAGCAAGGTGTCCAGGCAATGGTATATTTGATTTATAGGAAAAGGGTCAGTTATCAATATTATTCAATATTTGAAGTTAAGAATCGTCGAATTAAAATAATAACTTTATCCAACTAGAGTTTGAGGTCAAACTTATATCACGTGACACATTATCCAGAAAGAGTGAGAAACTGAATCGCGATTGTTAAGTTATTTCGATAGCTCATCAAGAACCAAAATCCGCGGACTTGCTTAATTTTAAGAGCTATTTGAGCCACCAGGACTCAAAATGAGCAGTCTATCCCCAAATCTTCAGTCCTGCTTTGCCTCCGCAAAGGCACAAAAGAAAGCTCTGGAAACCGTGGCAGACACAAACAGCCCCGCGTTTCGAGAGCAGCTCAGCAATTCTATATCTGCCTTCGAGCAATGCCAGAAACTCATCCAACAGCTATCATTGTTCAGTCCTAATGAATCAGTGGAGGATGTGACTACCGGAGATTTACAGTAGGGACCTTACTTCACACGCTACGAGGCATAAGATAACGCTAATGGTCTGGTCTAGGTTTTTGACAGTCCCTTATCTTCTGGCCGAATTGCTTCAACGATCTTACGGTGTAGACAGGCTTAAAACGCTCCAGCAGACGCGTGACGAATATGAAAGATATTTAGAGGCACTTGAGCAATATGGGCTTCTCTCACCTTCAAATAAGAAGCTCTATGAGCAGTACCTTGAACAACCAGACTCGTTCAGCCTTACCCCCACAAATGATGTATCGGCTCGCAGGCAAGTGAAGATAACCAGATTCAAGGAAGAAAAGGAACTGAAGCAGAAATTAGAGGTTTGTTTAGCTATCTAGGTATTGCTTAAACAGGCTGCGGAGTTCGCTGATGGAGAAATTGTAGTACCTTTCACAAAACAAGGATTCGGGGCACAATGACGAAGACATAGTACGGCAGGTATATCTCGCAGAAATCGACTTCTATACACATCAGACTTTCCAGTCGTTGGATATGTTGTCGCAGGAACTCTCCATGCTTAAAGTAGCTCCATCGCTACCCCCCGTCCAAAGAGCAGACGAGCGCAAGCCAGGGTTATCAAATGGAAAGGAGATGGGATACTCTGACCGTCTTGACATAGTTGGCTCGCAGATGGGTCTTGGCCGATATAGTGGAGTCCTATTAAGCCCAGATGGGAAGCCACTTCAACCATTTACCCTTACTAGCCGGAGAACGGATATCAAGAGAGGCGTGTTCCGGCCAGGCCACAATCTCCCAACGATGAGCATCGACGAATACTTAGAAGAAGAGAGGAGAAGGGGGGGTATTATTGAAGGCGGCGGTGAAAAATCGGGTATTCCAAAGGAAATTGACGAGGATGATTTTGAAAAGGCTGATGAGGAGACTCTCAAGGCAAGAGCCTGGGATGAGTTTACAGAGGAAAATCCCAGAGGTTCTGGCAATACTTTGAACCGAGGCTAGACAATGTCACATCACGATATTTTGCTGGAGAGTTTACTTCAATCCTGGGTCACATATTAGCGACACTTTCTGGCACAAGACTTGGATAGGAACATACCCGGCGGGGGAAGTTCTCCCTTTTTAGCTCCGGCCACTTTGTCAATGCAAGGTCGAGCAACTCACGGCCCAGAATTTGATATGCCTGAGTGCCAGGTTAGCCTCTATTCGACGAAAAAGACGAAAGAAACGCTCAGCTCTGATATACTGACCTTATCCCCTAAGTGGAGTCCATCAGTGAAATACCCATTTTCAAACGGTTTTGCACCGGGCATCCCTGAACCCGGAAGCATCTCGTCGATGTCTAGGTGATAGAACGCATCGTCCTGAGTCGTCCCCTCTATCCTACAGACAGACTTTGTGATCGAATACCAAAGATCCAAGACGGCTACCCTGCCACTTTTGGCTTCATATTCTTTACCAATCTCGACTATCTTCTTCGCAAACGTTCGTTTGGATTCCCATGTTCTGTGTCCTCGTCCTTGGGATGCCACGCTACGCAAAATAATAGCGGCATCGGGGTTATCCAGAAGAGGCTCCCCCACCGGGACGGGAACGTTGACAGGGGGCGGAGAAATTAAAATAACTCTGGTGTCCTTGGTGGCAGGGTCGTCTAGGATGGTGGTTAAATAATGGCGGATATGGTCTTCATACTCTTGAAGTGGGACCATGGGGCCGTTCATCGACAGGCAGGCGTCGTTGGCTCCCAGAAATATGGTAATGAAAAGAGGTGCTGGTGGTCCTCTTGATTTGATAGCTCCCATTAGGTATTCACTAAACTGTCTTCGTAACGACCTCGTTGTTTGTCTATTCTAGTGAGATCATGTGCTTCATGATGTATACACTTAGAGCTGTCATGAAGAGAGAAAGAAAAAGTCGACATACCCCGAGTACCCTGTTATCAAGTCAATTCTATGTTCAATGTAAAATACCTTGTCACAAAAGAAAAAGAAAAAGCTTGGCTGGGATGTTGCCTGAATGCCTACCTTCGTTAACAACCTCCACTCTATCATCATAGTATTTCTGCAGCTGCCATCCAAATCCAGTGTCTTGTGCATAGAATCCTCTTTCGGTCAGCGAGTCGCCAAAGAGATATATCCGCGGATAGTCATTAGGCGTGACCTTCTCAGGCTTGCTTTCCCGCCGCCAGTACCGATATGACATGGCTGGTAGAAGGAGGGTAGACTTGCCACTGCAAGTCGAGGGTAGGGTGGGGAGGTATGTATAGATGTATATAATTATATATATTACTATTAATTATAGTATGTTTAGAAGAGAAAAAAAGAGAAAAGGAAAAGAATAAACCAAGTTTGACACCGGGAGCCTCTTTTTATTTAAACATGGCGGGGCAAGGAGGGAAGGAAGAACGCTACGGGAAGATGGAAATGCGATACCAGCGTGCATTCCGGGGTTGGGATGTTTTTTTTTTCTTCGTTCTAGGCCAGGCCCTTGGACGGGTTGTAGTTAGTTAGCGCCTGCATGAGCCATATACATACATATCCAGAGGGTTGAGTGTACTGGCCCGTCCAGTGGGACAGCTTGTTCGTTGTTTTTTCTTTTCAACTACGCTATCGGATGCACGTTATACGGGGCTAACAAAAGAAGGGTGGTTGATCTAAATCAAGAGAGCAGCAAGACAGGCGCAATTAATAGTTATATAGTATATGCAGTGCTACTCTCGGACTTAGCCTGCCCCGAGTCATGGTCTCATTAAAAGGGGAGAACGAAGAGGAAGAAGAAGGGAAAGATAATCCAGCATAAGCAATTATTACCATGCTTTCTTCTTCTGCTGGATGACCTCCAGGATCTTTCCTGCTCCCTTCCCGACCATCTCATCAGCAACAGCCTTGCCAAACGCTTCGGCCTGCTCTGGTGTCTGGACGTCACCGTCCTTTTCAGTTTCGACCGCTTCCTTTCCATCTATACTGGTGACGATGCATCGCAGCCTCAGCATCTCCTTCCCATCCGTATCCTGGACCCATTCTGTCTCTACGCCAAGGGGGGCACTGCAGCCTCCCTCAAGCGTCCGCAGTAAGTTCCTCTCAGCCAAACAGGCAAATGTTGTCTTCTGATCCCCAATCTCACGCAGCATCTCAATCATTCTGGCATCGCCGGCCCGGATTTCAACCCCAAGCGCCCCCTGGCCCACAGCATGAAGCATCTGGCCATTTTTGGAGTCTAGATATTGTGAAATGCGATATCCGTGTCCCGTCCTCAACAAGCCTGCGGCTGCAAGTATGATGCACGTAAACGGGCCGTCTTCCGCATCTAATTTAGCCAAACGGGTGTCGATGTTACCTCGCACATCAATCACCTTCAAGTGTGGGTAATGGCGGCCGAGCTGTGCTGTACGACGTACAGAGGACGTTCCGATCACCGAACCTGCAGGCAGTTCCGCAAGGGTCATATTTGGCTGACCCTTTTTGACAACTAGAGCGTCTCGCGGGTCTTCACGCTTTATAATAGCGCTCAGCGTGCAGGTCTCAGGAATCTGCGTGGGGACATCTTTTTCCGCATTGAGACGTGTAAGTGACTTTTCCCCCCCCTTCTTTAATATAAACCACCGGCCTCTCACCTTTTAAAGAGTGCACTACAAGATCTAGCTGCTTTGCTAGCAGCATCTCCTCGAGCTCCTCTGTCCATAGATTCTTCGATGTGAACTCGCGAAGCGGGGTAATCTTGTTCAAGTCGCCTGCAGCATCGCGAGTATGAACGTTGAATTCACAATCCGGCCATCTCGCCACCAAGGCATTCCGGACAATCTCTGTCTGCAGCACAGCCAAGTTTGATTTGCGCGTTCCGATGGTGAACGTCTTGCGTGGGGAGTCCATCTTATCTGATATTGTGACAGCGGGGTTAAAGAGCGAGCGAAAAAACAACTGTTGAATACGAAGTCTCGCGTCTCTAGGATGAAGCTGCTAGTATCAATGAATGACGCTGCCAGAAATACAATATACTGCCATTCCAGTCAAGACGTGTTAAAAGATGAGCTTCAAGATAACCTATGTGGTAGAAGATAATTTTTTGCTGGTTCTCGCCCAAGGTTTTTGGCCCCATCATGCATAAACTAAAGCCCAGACATTAGAACACCATCAACTAGCGCCATGCATGCATTGCTCAGATCATTTTTTATTTTCTTCATCCAAAGACAACGCCTTAAGTTATTTATTTAAGAAGTAAATCTGTACAAGCCACTTTTCTAACTAGTGAACATGAGAAAAGAAGAAAAAACTTCCAACAACTTTTTGTCTTCTTTCGTGGCATGTGACATCAAGATGACTCAGCAGATATATCACGTGATAAAGGGCTTGGCAGTTAACCTCGGCATCTCGAAAGAAGAAGCAAGGAGAAGACGGTTTATCAACCATCAAGAGACGCAAAGATACAGCCGAGGCGGACATTCTCCTTAAGCATAAACAGTGTGCTTTGTACTGACCTTAAGCTGACCATATACTTGATATCCTACAAGTTTCTTCTCATCTCTATTATTTTCTTTGAATACCGACTTGGTGGCGGTAGAGGACCCTGGGGCCGTCATTCTCCTTGCCCTATAGTTCTACGGGCTACCGGTAGACCGAAGATGACCTCCAACAACGGTAGGCGGACGATGAAGGTGCCCTTGATACCACTCGCAAGAGATTTGGTACTTTTGCCCAGCGTCAACCTGCGAATCCCGCTCTCAGATCGCCCAGACATCCCGACACTCCTGACTTCGCTCTTCAGCAAACATGCAAAGCAACGACAGAACAGCACCCCGATCCTGGTGGGGTGTATTCCCCTGAACTCACCTTTCTTGTCCAAGGATGGCCAGCTGTTGCTCAGTGACGGGGACAAAGAAAGAGCTCGGTCGATAGACGACGAACCTATCAACCCTGCAGCCGCTGGAGTAAATGACTTGTTTCGGTATGGGACTATCGCAAAGGTGGTCGGAGTTCAGGGGAGGGCGAACGCAGAACCTTTCTTACTAGTTGAAGGAGCAAAGCGGTTTTCGGTGCAGAAAATCTTGAAGGAAAAGCCCTTCTTCGAGGCAGAGGTGCTGGTGTACGATGAGCCCGGTAGGTGTAGTGTCATTATCACGCTAGGGAAGAATCTCTGTGACTTATCTTGCTAATTGAAATTTTTATCATTTAACAGTTCCTCACGCCATCGATCCAGAAATTCCTGAGCTGTTCCAGCAACTTAAGCAGCTTTCTCGAGAACTCCTAACGGTCTTACGGCTTGCCTCCGTTTTCTCGGCCTCCTCCAGCATGTCTCCTCTGATTGCCCGTCGGTTTGAACTATTCATCGCTAAACGGGATATATCTCAAGCCGGTGCGTTGGCAGATGTCATTGCTGATCTGATTGATGCTGGTTTCGAAGAGAAACTTCGGGTTCTAGCTTCGATCGAGTTAAAAGACAGGCTCGAACGTGTCATCGAGCTGTTGACAAAGGAAGTTCAGGGTATGAGAAACAACATAAAGGTGACCACGTTCACCACAACCACTATACCCTCAAATATGGGAGTTGATATTAAACAGCTCGACCCCCGCCAGCGAGAACTCTACCTTAAACGGGGCATACAGATGAACATGCCTGGTATGCGAGGGAACGGTAGCGGCGAAGATGGAGAAGAAAAAGAGCCGAATGAGATAGATGAGCTTCAGCAAAAGCTCCAGGAAGCTCAACTCAGTCCGGAGGCCCAGAAGGTTGCGGATAGAGAAATAAAAAGACTCCGCAAGATGAACCCTGCAAACGCTGAATACGGAGTATGCCGCAACTACCTGGAAAATATTGCGGAGATTCCCTGGTCTAAGGCCACCGAGGACCAGTTGGGTCCAGAAACGCTAACTCGGGCTAGAAAGCAGTTGGACAACGACCATTACGGGCTAGAGAAGATAAAGAAACGCCTTTTGGAATATCTTGCTGTCCTAAAACTGAAGCAGTCTTTGAACAACGATGTTGAGTCGCAGATAACTGAACTCTCAAACGACCTTACGGCAAAGGAGAACGCAACTGAAGATGACGATTCTTCTTCGATTGCGGAACGTGATGCCATCGAGACAAAACTACAACTTCTCAAGTCAAAGCGTGTGGTTGATAAATCACCAATTCTGCTTTTGGTTGGCCCTCCTGGCACTGGTAAAACCAGTTTGGCAAAATCAATCGCTACATCACTTGGCCGCAAATTTCATCGCATATCCCTTGGTGGTGTCAGAGATGAGGCAGAAATCCGTGGCCATCGCAGAACATATGTTGCCGCTATGCCTGGACTCGTTGTCAATGGCCTTAAAAAGGTTGGGGTTGCAAACCCAGTTATACTACTTGACGAAATTGACAAAGTTGGCGGCGCAAACTTCCATGGAGACCCATCGGCTGCCATGCTTGAAGTCCTTGACCCTGAACAGAATCACACCTTCTGCGACCATTATATCAATATCCCCATTGATTTGAGTAGGGTGTTATTCATCGCCACTGCGAACTCCCTTGAGACCATTCCCCCACCGCTGCTTGACCGCATGGAAACGATATATCTATCCGGCTATACTACCGTTGAGAAGAGGCATATTGCAAAGCAGCACCTCCTTCCAAAACAAATACGAACAAACGGCCTCTCCGAGGGCCAAGTTGAGATCACGGATGAGGTTATGGACAAGATTATTACTTCCTATACTCGCGAGTCAGGCGTACGCAACCTTGAGCGAGAAATAGGTGCTGTATGCCGCTTTAAAGCTGTTCAGTTTGCAGATGCAAAAGATTCTTCTCGACTTGACTCGTATGTCCCTAACGTATCTGTCGATGACCTTGATGAGATACTGGGCATCGAACGGTTTAACGAAGAAATAGCTGAGAAGCTAGCAAGACCAGGCATAGTCACTGGTCTTGTTGCATACTCTTCCGGTGGCCAGGGCAGTATCCTTTTCATTGAAGTGGCTGACATGCCTGGAAGTGGAAGCGTTCAACTCACCGGCACCCTAGGCGATGTTCTTAAAGAATCAGTTGAGGTGGCCCTCACATGGGTTAAGGCTCACTCATATGAGCTCGGATTGACTCAGGATCCTAATGAAGATATAATGAAACACCGCAGTCTGCATGTCCACTGCCCATCCGGAGCCATCCCTAAGGATGGTCCATCTGCCGGCCTCGCCCACACCATCGCCCTGATCTCGCTTTTCGCTGGCAAGCCTGTTCTACCTGAGATTGCCATGACTGGTGAAGTCTCCCTCCGTGGACGTGTAATGCCCGTTGGAGGAATTAAGGAGAAGATGATTGGTGCTCATCGAGCAGGTGTTAAGACCGTACTGTTGCCCCAACAGAATATCAAGGATGTGAGAGATGTTCCTAAAGAGGTTCAAGATGGGCTTAACATTGTTTACGTTACGTATGTTTGAACCCACTCTAATATCCCTCGAACTGGTTACTGACATAAATTCAATATTTAGGCACATATGGGATGCTATCAAACAGATCTGGCCCGACGGCCATTGGCCTGGAGAGCAGCGCCACCCAGTTTTCGAGAGTCGGCTGTAGGCTCATTCTCAACCATTCTGATTTAGGTACGCTCTCAACCCCTTCCTGCACCAGTGATACGAGCATATGGTATAAATACATAGTGGTATAAGGATGGAGTTAGCACAGATGCCAGGACTTCATCATATTCAGCGATGAATATAGCATATTTCGGTCGTTTCTCTTCTTACCCTCATCCGTTCAGCGTCTCACCCGTTCTATTCTTCACTCAGCTGTATATTTAGCAATGCATTTTGGAAATCAATTATATGAATTATCAGAATAATATCTACCCGACGTGCCGTAAAAACCCATATAGCTTAAAGCAGGCATTGAAAATGGAGAGGCAAACAAGTGAAACGTGATAATACATAGCAGTAGAAAAGGAGTCTAAATATACAGATATTCGATCATCCAGCCCATGTACGCTCTATAATTGATCGAAATAATGAAAATCCCTCCATTGTACCGGAATGGCAGTACTAGGAATGCGTGCATGGTCGAAATATTCTTGCTCGAGTTCCTCCATCCTTGTCCTTCCGGCAATTGTTTTATAATCCCATAACTTCACATTCCCAAGATGATGAAAATGTCCAGGATTTTAACTTTCTGATGGCTGTGCAGATTCCGATGCCACTGGTGTCTCCTTTGACTTAGGTGCCTGTCTCTTGAGTATAGGTCTCTGGGAATTGAGGCCTAGTGTTTGCCATGTTGGTTGCCACTGTTCTTCGCCATTCAGAACCTGCTTTGCCTGTTCTGCCAGCAACTCTCGCTTCCGTGCAGGTGCCTTCATCGGTGCGTCTTCAGAATGTGCGGCCTGGAAATCCTCCTGCAGCTTTTTGGCTTCGTAAAATGTGTCCCTCTCCCATCTAAGTATCGGAGTTAGAAATTTCGTCCATAACTCGCTTCTCTCTTGGTATCCATAGTAATAAACTTACGGTGAAAAGTCTTCTGGCTCGTGAGGCCACACAAACGGTTCAGTCATTTCGATTGTCATTTTTTTCTTTGCCATCAGTCGTCGCATAGGACCAACACCTTGCCTTCCTCGTGGAAGCTCGCGCGTAACCTTCTGTTGTTCAACGTAACTTCGTACTTTGATAACATCGACATTGTATACTCGTTTCATATAATCTTTCATATCGAGCTTGTTGAACGTGAGAGGGACCCAGAAAGAGGCATATCGAGGTGGTAGAAACGGAGTCCGTATAAGGGTAAGCACGAAATCGGGCCTATGTTATGAATTGAGATAAGTCAGCGTAAAAAATTTCGAATTAATACGTCCGAGAAGCCGCAAATGCTTTGGATAGTACACCTGGGCTGCGCCTTGTGGACTAACAGGTATATTTGCTTCCGTTGTTCAAGCGGAAGCGGCTTGTAGAGGTTTTTAGGGAGTGCTTTGGGTATATTCGACGCCATTGTGCAATATATTCCCCGAATATACGCTGGAAAATTGTGAGAAAGCACCCACAGACCTCGAGGGCAGTAATGTGTCTAGTTAGGGGAGATGGTTATTGATTTGGTATCTTGAAGGCGCTTTTTTGCTTGTTGAACATTCAAAGTCGGAAAGTCACATTTGGTCTCTCTCGCGCACCGTAACTAAACTTTATTCCGATAGCTTAAAAGTTACCAGCTAAATGTCGAACAGCGAGGATGATATATTCGAATACAGAGCATTGGATAACTTCGTTTTTATTATTTATGCAAGGTTATGTCATGAATATAAATAGTCATGATATCGTATCTCGTCCAATGCTCTAATGGAACAAATACTGTCTAATTGTCATGAAGGTTCAGATATAGTGAGCTCATCCAGCCCTATCTTACCAGCATCAGGACGCGATGTTTGTGATTTCGCCTCTGGGGTTCCATCTGCTGTCTTTGAACCATCATGTTCATTATCTTCCTCATACCCATCGAAGTCATCACCGTCATTTTCTTGATTCTCGTCAAGATCGTGGTCATCGTCCCCATCCTCACTCTCGTCCTCAGCACCCCCAGCATCGCCGTCCACACCAACTTCTTGCATGTATGCCTCCAGCTCTTTAGCCATCTTCTTCGAGAAGCCTGAGGCCTCAACTGCAACATCCAGCCGGGGAGTTCCCTCGGTTCCCACAAGTTTTCGTGCCTCGGAGAAGAAAGGTCCAGGTTCGTCACTGACAAATCCAAATCGCCGTTGAAAGTAGCGTTTGATGCAGTTGACGTCCCGGTAGAAGTACATTTCAGCGTTTGCGTGATCAACTGAGACCATCTGTGGGAAATCAATCACAACCGGTGTGAGTTTAACATTCTCCACATTCTTGTCCTTATTCTCTTGATCTTCTTCTTCGGTCGCTATTTCCTCCTCCTTTATTAAGATGTTAAATTCGTTATAATCACCATGTATCAAACCGAATTTTGCCAATTCCATGATTGTGTCGATTAGTTCCGCATATAACGCGGCAGGGTTTGGGACAGATGATATTTGACGAAGGGGAAAAGCATCGATCATACTCATAACAATGGTATGTCGGTTTTGGGAAATCGGCTCTGGGACAGAAAATCCATGGTCCTTCAGAGCTTTCATAAATGCAAATTCCTTCATTGCAGCCAGTCGGGACATGTACATCCATGAGGCAGAGCTTCGATGTCGCAAATAGTCCCTATTATTTTTAATCGAACGGAAAGATATTCGGCCTAGTCGGTGGATTTTCAATATTCGTTGTGTTCCAGACGCTTCTGCAACAGCTATAATATCAGATTCCTTCCCAACTCCGATTTGGTTTCCAACCGAATAAACCACCTGTTGTTTCTGATACGTATGAAGGGCAAGGTAATCGAGGCCTCCGTAGGTAAGCCGGTAGCCATCATCTAACAAAATCCCGATATCAGTATCTCTGTCACAAATATTTCATGGGCCGGAAACTAGATGTGTTTACATTTCGCATTTTTCACCCGAGCGATTAGATTTAATTTCGCAAGATTTGATATCGACTTATGGACTGCGCTGCCCCCTCGAAGCCCAGATAATCGAACGATTAGCGGGGTCGGAACGACCTCATGGTTTCTGCTCCCAGTTTCGACCTATGGGCCCCATTAGCGAGTGTCTTTTAACTGCGTGGGTAACATCATTTTACCCCGGTAAGCACTCGAAAATCTTCTCCAGTAAGATATCTTAGCGCTTTTGCGTCTAGCTTCATGATGAAAAATATCCACAGGTCTTTTCAGCTTATGGGTGTAAAATATTACTTTCACACTCGGACGACGATTAAAAAAAAGATATTGAGCTTATCATCACGTGATAATTTGCCCAGCAATTAATCTTTGACAATATTTTACTATTGTCTTTAGAATACAGCTGCAGCCTAACGTTATTAAATATACCAGGTATACACTCTATTCTTGAATACGCGGAGATTTTATAGTGTTAATATTACAGTGGCCCCTCATACGACGAGTTGGAATTTATATTCAGGTTGCCCTGGGCTGCAGATATTACATAATACGCGGCAAACGCTAGTACTAAAATAGGAAAAAGTAAACGCCCAACCTCACTTTTCCACTTTGGGCCAGGCCTTGCCAGACATTGGTCTCACCTCAATATCAAACATCGATTTCTTGTTCCCTGCCACCTCCACGCCCACTCCCAACTATACATGGCCTTTTGAAATATTCGCTCGTTTTAGTCAATCCTCTCCTAGATACAGGTGCTTCATTAACGACCCATTGGGGACCCCTATTTAAAGAGCCCAGTACCCCACCGCGCGCTTCGTTCGTTCCAAAACTGCCTACCCAGCTGGTGTACCAAGTTTGGGCGCCATGGGGTTTGGAGACTTTGATTCAATATGCCGGAAGGCGGCGCTGCCTCTGTGTTCGCTCGTTGGACCGAAGACCGGCTTTGCAGGGACAAGAGGGATACTGCCAGACTGTTATGCGAGGAACATTGAAGTCGCCAATACCATCATTTTCCAAGGTGCGGCCGGGATAATACATATTATGGCACTAGGAATGGCAGTAGTTATGATTATCCATATCCGGTCGAAGTTTACGGCAGTCGGTAAATACACCTGACATCTTTTTTTTTTTTTTTTTTTTTTTTTTTTGTCATGAGCACAACTGACATTTGCATTTTGTCTGACAGGCCGAAAGGAAATAATAACATTCTTTTACCTCTATATGGCTCTCACGGTCTGCTCGCTCGTGCTTGATACCGGAGTGACACCTCCAGGAAGTCCGGTTATGCCATATTTCGCTGCCGTTCAGAACGGACTGACTTCCGCAATGTGTACCAGCCTGTTGATCAACGGTTTTGTGGGATTTCAACTATACGAAGATGGCACTGCGCTCTCTGTGTGGCTTTTGCGATTCTCCTCATTGGGAATGGGCCTAGTGTCTGGGGCGGTCTCCCTCTTGACATTTCAGGGATGGGCAGGTCTTTCGCCCACGAATACTGTCGCCATGTTTGTTGTTCTCTATGTTTTGAATGCCTTGTCCCTGGCCATCTATGTGATCATGCAGATTATCCTTGTCGTCAACACTCTAGAGGATCGCTGGCCATTAGGGCATATCACATTCGGTGTTTTCTTCTTCGTTGCTGGACAAGTCATTTTATACGTGTTCAGTGACGTAGTCTGCGAGGGCATTCAGCATTATCTGGATGGACTATTTTTCGTTACTTTCTGTAACTTGCTCTCTGTTATGATGATATACAAGGTATGGCTGAAACAATATTTCTTGATATATAGATATGCTAACAAACGATTGTAATAGTACTGGGACTCTATTACCAAAGAAGATCTTGAGTTCTCGGTTGGTCTAAAGCAAAACAACTGGGAGGTTAAAGAACTATTACCTGAAGAAGAGCGCAGGGCCACCGTTTACCTCGACACCAACTCCGAGTATGCTGGCAGCATGTACCACAACCGAAGCTCTGCTCACGGTGGCCATTCCGCTTACTAAACCAGACTTCAGCTCTTTCTACTCTTATTTACATTAATAGTTTATTTCGTTCATCCACCCCTTTTTTCGCTTGGAGTCCTATATAACATGTAGTTGATGATTGCCGCCCCCTGTTTCAGCCTACATCTTATTCACACCTTCTATGGTGATAATTTTTATTGACGAATCCTTATTTTGGCGTTTTTGACACCGCTTGCGTTGTGGCATAGTTTATGCATGTTCTTTTACCCATTATGTACCATTTTTTTCACTCAATTCATGTTCACCTGTCGATATTAGACGCATTATATACCAGTCAATATTATCTGTTCATTACTAAGTAATCCACTACAAAGACCTGCGTACGCCGAAAGCAATATTGGATGAAATAATGACCTACTATGTACACTAACCATGTATAGTAGATACCGTTTACGTCACTCAGTGTCAATCAATTACTCTGGTTATCCTTCTTTTACAATGAGCCCCCGCCTTTTCGTATACCATAAAACCCAGCAGATAATATACAGTCTGAAGCACTTGGAATATGCCAGGAACCATGACCGAAGAACACGAGGCAGTTGTTGATCGACATCATGTATGTAGCATGTCTACGTCATGCTTGATGGGGAGATGATAATATCCGACATCAACACGGGATGCGGGATAATCCTTCAAAATCAATCTACCAAGGCGGGAAATTGTGATCCCTGAGGCATATTTTCAGACAACCGTCAAGAGGCAAAGCCTGCGAGGGTGAGACTATATGCAGGTGTGGTGTGTGTCGTTGGAGGGATACTGATAAGGGTCTTATGCACCGTGTCAGCGTGCCAGCTGGGTTCTTGGAATACCCTGCGGGGAAGCCGGATGCAGTCCGGACTATTATTATTATTAGTAGTAGTATTATATTGATAATTATATCAGTCATTGTTCAACGTTGTATCACTTTGCTTCTTCGGTTCTGGGTTGCTCGTTAGTATTTTTGGTTTTGATGGCTCCGGAAGTTTGTACATGCAACGTTTAGTCACGTGATTAATATGAGGTTCCGGCCTGGACAAAAATCTTCAAAGGCTTTTTTTTTCCAGGTCGAGAGCTGTAAATTAGGACGAACAACAAATAAACCACCAGACCGAAGATGCCTCCGAGACTGCCGCTGCGACTTTTGTCGCAATCTGTTTCATCGATTTCGTCCTCAATTCAGTCCCATGTCTCCCCTTCGTTCCTGTTTCTCCTACCGTCTATCCATACCCAGACCCGGGCAGCGTCTATTCTAGCCTCCCTCTCGGACAATCCAGGAGCTTATAGCAAGAAAATCCGACGTGGTCTTGGCCCTGCGTCTGGCAAGGGAAAGACGGGTGGTCGTGGTCACAAAGGTCAGGGTCAGCGAGGAACCAAGAAATCATACTTCAATGGAGGACAAACGCCGGATGAGGTTGTCCATGGAGAGAGGGGATTTGACAACATGTGAGTTGAACAGGGCTTGCAGAAATGAAAAAAAATATGCTATTTTTATTTATGCAGCATGCTAATCGATGTTGCGTCGGATGCTAGATTTGCCCTAAAAATATCTCCCGTCAACCTCGACCGCATCCAAGACTGGATCGATCAAGGCCGCCTTGATCCTTCACAGCCCATCACCCTCCGAGAACTGGTCAAGTCTAGATGTATCCACGGAATAAAGGATGGAGTCAAACTCCTCTCACGTGGAGGAGAGGGTGCCCTCAAGCAGCCCATCACCATCATCGTTTCGCGTGCCTCTGCCAGTGCCATCCAGGCAGTCGAGGCAGCAGGCGGCTCCATCACGACTCGATACTACACCAGACACGCCATAAAGAGGATTATCAGCGGGAAAACAGATCCATACGTCTCTCTTGCGTGGAAGGATACTTCCGAGAAACTTGCTGAGGCTGCAGCCAAGGGCGAGGACATTTCTCACGTCGACACCGAGCTCATGCAGAAGATTGGGATGGGCGTTGATAAGCCGCTCGTGAAGGGTAGTGGATTCCAGTACCGCCTACCTGACCCAACCAGCCGAAGGGATATCGAATATTACCGTGATCCAGCCCATCGGGGGTACCTGAGCTACCTGGTCAAGGAAGGAGACAGCCCCAGCTTGTTCTTCACCCCGCCATCCAAGGAGCAGAAAGCGAAGAAAGCTACGAAGAAGTCTGCAGAGAACAGGGTCTGGTAGTTCTTCGGCTGCTCACCAAGCAACAACTTACTTCATCTCCTCCTCGTCTTATGCCGTCTTCTTTTGGGAATATATGTCTGAATTACTTGGGGTTTCATGTAAGATGTATCAATTGTATATTATAGATAATTCAGATACAAAGAACTACGGGTTGTAATCATGTTCGAACTACTCATCTCCATCACTTTTTCAACTGTTGTGTCCGGTATGGCAGACAGAGTAATAATACCACAGCTCCGATTCGTCGCGTCATTATTACCTAAATATCATTCCTAAGAGAAACATCCTATCAGTTTCAAATGCAACCAAGCCAACGCCGAGCAGCTTGCTGCTCTTTGCTTATTTCGAGCCCTTGTCTAGCTACGACCTTGCATGCTGCTAGCTGGCGCTGCCAAAGGAGAAAAAGCAAGACACAAGTGCCGAACCTGCACACCAACTTCCGTCCTCTCTTCACACTTGCAGCCATCGAAACCGGTCGGGGGACACATGAAGTCTAACCTGCAGGACAACAGCCAGGCAAGGAAGAAGATAACACACATGCTTGTTGTCTTGTGGTGGTTGCGGCAAAAGGAGGATTATACTCCGCAATTCAAGTTTGAGTACGGAGCATGTAGTTAGTTACATTTCGCTAACTCCATAACACAATCATAGAATAGATGCTATGGGGAAAGATAACAACGCCGCCAATGAAACGGCCAGAGAGGTTTTTATGCTTTGGTTCGCGGATTTGTCCACCGAAGCCCGTTCCCCCCACGTCTGGAGAAGTATATACATATGTAGTATACTGACATGCCAGTAACATCCTTTCTGGTCAAAAGAGGTGATGGTGGTGAGGGGGCGGGACGGCTACGGCCTTCAACGGATCGCCCAGCTCGATATCAGGATTTCGCTACATCTTAACTACTTTCCTCCCCTTTTTCGCCACAGGAAGAAGAACAACTCATACAGTATGATAGGCCATGCGTGGAAGGGATTTTCTCGCGGAAATAAAGGATTTAATAAACACCCGGGAGTTACAATACAGTTCGGGGGGAAGACCAGGCGACTGGCAAGGGGGAGTGAGCATGCTATGTATAGAGCTTTGGCTGTTTAAATTTACTATTTTGCTATTACTATAATAATGGTACAGGGGGCTAGGAGTATGCAGGCGTAGAACTATAAACAAGGCACACAGACGTTTGATATAGTAACAGGCCAAGGCGATGCCATTCCACCCGCTGAAAAGGTAGTCAAAGTTGAAAAATATTTGGTTGTATTAGGATGGAGGATGTAAAAAAAAAAAGAAGAGGAGAGAAACAAGGTTGCATAATTCAAGAATATGCAAGAGCGTGGAGCAAAGGGAAAAAAAAGATGGGGGAGAGGAGTGTAAGATTGATGGTGTAGGTAGAGAAAAAGGGCCCGAAACCGCTTTGTGATGGGAAGGGATATGGAGAGGGTAGGGTAGGGAGAGAAGCGGACTATGCAAGTTAGACACAACCACCATAACCACGCCACGCCGCCGCCGTATCATGCCATGCCATGCCATCACACCTGTCAAAGCCGCCTGAGGAAGAGAACACCCATGTAATAAGGGAATAAAAAAAAAAAAACGAGCCGTTAACGCCATGAGCTGAGCAGCACAAAAAAAAACGCACCGATGACATCCGAGAAAATGAGCCAGCCATATCAAGTGTTCCCGCCAAACGATTACAGGACCAAGCAAGAAAAACGAAAAAAACGAGAGATAGCCGAGAATGCGAAAGACGGAGAGGGTACAGGGTATCAGTCATGAGAAGCGTAAGACAGGAACAAGCATAAACATAAGCCCACCATCCCATCAACAAGCGTAAAACGTAAAAACACAGAAAAGATAAGAGATATATTAAGGGAAAAAAAAAAGAAAAAAGGGTAGCTAAGAACGCTTAACTTTCAAAACGTGGAGAAATGAACCAAGCGCACATCAAATGAACAACAGGTGAAGTGGTATGATGCTTTTTTTCAAGAGGAGAACCCCCATCCATTGAGACGGGTGGCAAGCTCCGCAGTGTCTGCGCAGCTATGAAACCATCGGCAAGCAAGGACGTCGGAGATCGTCCATCGTTTCATGGGGTCCATCTCAAGGCAGCCTTCGATCATCTCCAGTGCGTCCTCACGGTCGTGCTTCTCAGATTCGTCCGTAGTGGCCAAGACGGCGTTGCGGTCCCATTTGCCAGCCAGGATATTGGTCTGGATACGTGGCTGGAAAGAACTCTGGAATGGCCTGGAGCCCACGATAAGGGAGTAGGCGACGACGCCAAACGCCCAGACATCGACAACCGGGTCAAGCACCCCGACGTTGGCCATCAGGAGCTCGGGGGAGGCGTACTCTAGACTGCCAGCCATGCTGGTGCTTGTGTCTGAAGGCCCAATAGGTTTGGGTGGAAGTCGATCAGCAGCGTTGTCGTAAGGGTCGGGAGAGCTGCATGTGTCGGTTGTCATCCATTCAGCCATGCCGAAGTCACAGAGAATTAGGCGCGGGATGTCTTCCGATCCATTTGGCTCCAAGAGGCAGTTCTCCAGCTTGATGTCTCGATGAACGACACGGGCATCCTCGTGTAGATATCGGAGGGCACACGCCAGCTGGTAAGAGTATTGTTTTGCGTGGGAAAGTGGGATATCTTGGCGCTTTTTCTTCACCATGTCGAAGAGTGAGCCTCCTTCGGTTAGCTTAGTGAAGCAGAACGTAGCATAATCGGTTTCGTAGACCGCATCCAGTGATAGTATGTGTGGGTGGTTTAGGTATCGCCAGATGCGAACTTCGTGGTCAAATTCAGCCTGCACCTGGTCATTTTCTCTCTCGCTTTTGCCCGAAAGGTATTTTTTGACAATCTTGACTGCGTGTCGTATGGTCTTGCCTTCATCGGTGACTTTGAATGCTTCCTTGACGGTGCTAAAACCTCCAAATCCAATCTGTTTGCCGATAACGTAGTCCTGCCCGATAACCTGGCCTTCGTCGTCAGGCTTCGGAGGAGCTTCTTCACCATTCATGGTAGAGAGAAAGGCGCTGGCTGGTGATTTACCGCTCATGTTGGGAGATCTGCGGGAGTAAGATCGCATGGACTGTCGTAGGCTGTTCGTCCGTCGACCAAAGGAGTAGCTCTCGGTGAGGCTTCCGTAGAGGTGACGGGTGAGACTGGGCCACGAGTCCCCTTCACTATCGATCGAGCCATGACGGCGAAGGTTTGGGGAGGACAGAAAGGGAGAAGAAAGGCTTCCCTGGCGTGAATCTGGCGGAGTTCGCAGCTCGTCTGAGACGGGAGACGCCGTTGAGAGTGACGTCAAGGACGTGGGCCGTGGGAGGTCAGAATCGGCGGAGAACACCTCTGAAAGGGGGGAGGTCCTGGGAGAGTGACACTGAGAAAACTCATCACCAGAACTGTCGTTACGACGACGACCCTGATGGTGATGATGGAGTCGATGGTCGTGGGCGTAATAGCCGTTTCCGCTGTTGCTGGGCTCTGGCTGAGCGAGACGTTCAGGGCCAGCGTTGGCGTAGAGCTGCTTGAGCTCCGAAGATCCAGGACCGGACGCAGGCCTGGCTCCAATCTGGCTTCTCCTCCCTAGATTCGTGATGGGTTCCTCCAGGCCAACCTGGTCACCGGTTTCAAGAGTTACCTGAGGGTTGAAGCTGATGGAGGGCCGCCTCTTCCTCCCAAAGTGGTGATCTAGAGGTGAGGGGTTCTGGTATCGATCATGGTCATACTCGATATCCTCATCGGCGGCAGAGGAGCCATGCAGCTTGTCCTCTGGGTAAGGCACGCTGATGGGAGGAGTCGGGACGTGTGGTGTCCATGACCGCTCCAACTCTTCCTTCCTAGCAGCAGAAGGAGCAGCAGCAGCAGCAGCAGGAGAAGGGGCAGCAGATGAAGGGGTAGAAGATGGTGAGGAAGAGGAAGCATGGCCGCTGGGATGGCGACGGGTTAGGCCATTGCTTCCACCACGGTGATACATCGGTCCATGCTCTTCGCGGTCCAGAACGGGAGATGAAGTGGTGAAATCAGCGTCGATATTCAGTTCTGTGATCGCGAGCGCCTTAGCATGGGCCATACCCTTCCACTGTGGGAGAGGGCAAGTATATCAGGACGAAGACCAGGCCGGTTGTCTTTTTTTTCTCTTGCCGTCCAGACAGCTGCTTCCGAGCTATAGCGTCCCTTGTAGGCGTGATTGACGTCCAGCTGAGTAGATATAAGGGGCATATATGAAGGATGTGAACTATTATCACAAACGCGATATCTCTTTCTTCTTCCTCCAAGAGTAGAAGTAGTGGCAGTTGAACTAGTCAAGAAGAAGAAAAGGTTGAAGAATAAAAGAGAAGTGGGTATGAAATAGTAGCCAAGGGAAGAGGCGGCAGACTTGTTTGTATAAAAAGGAAGAAGAAGAAGAGAAGAAAAGGTGAGATGAGGAATAGGACGCAGGAGATAGGCCCAGTTAGGCAAGCCTGGCGCGCCGGTCAGGGTTCTCCCTCCTCGCTCTCTTTCCTTTTTTTTTCCTCTTCTCTTTGGCGAGGGCAAAAATGGAGGTTTCGGAAGAAGCCGGGAGGTCGGACCAGCCACGATAATACCCCTTTAGGTTTAGGGTAGGGCAGAGATAACGCGGACCCTTGCGCTTATCAGTTGCCAAGCCTTTGCCTTTTTCAAGGACTTCTTTATGACTAACGCCGTCGGTTCGCATTACTCAATCGGTTCTTGGCCCTCAAGCCACCGACGTCAGCCGAACATGTGAGTTCATGTGATCTGCCTGCTTATCTAAGGTAGCCACAGTTGGCGGACTTACGTCGGGCCGCTGTCTACCCCGTATACGGGCCTGCACGGACGGCTTATGTAAGAAAGAGCTTGTTTCTTTTTTTAGACTTCTTCATCCTTATTTTTCATTGGGCAGAAAAGTTTCAAAGATAAAACGACGAACTATGATTCGCCGTTGAGGGGGGCGCTTGACTCTCTCTCGTCCAGTTTTTTTTTTTTTTCTATCTTGAAAGGGGGTTTTTTCTTTTCGGTCTTCCTGTTTGAGGTTTCTTGTCCTTTCTCAATCGTTTTCTTGATGCTGCGACTTTCTTCTCTCCTTGCGCTCCTTTTTCCTGTTCTTTTATTTTTTATCTTTTTCACGGCTCCCACGATCGCTATTCCGTCGCAGTAATCACCTCTCAAACGGTTGTCTCCTTTCATTTCAGACCAGGTGGTTTACAAGACCGGCTCTTGGAGAAATATAATATCGGACGGATGTTTCAGGCAGCTGGCACACCTAACACATTGTCAGGCGGAGTACTTGATTCATAGTGCTACATAGGACAAGTATCTGGCCGGATCTTGGAATATTTCCATGAATCGTTGTCGAGCGCACGCACGCCTGACCTCATCCTCTCTCTCTTTCTCTCCGTCTCCCCGTCCGTCGCCCTAGCTACCCTCCTCTACCAGTGACACCATTATAGATAACTCCGCAAACAGAGCCGCCATCATGACCAGACCCCAGATGATCCGAGCAGGTGAGACATACACGGCGCTTGATTGCATTGACAACGTTTACCTGCGCTTCGCCTTTTTTTTTTTTTTTTTTTTTTTTTTTTTTTTTTTTTTTTCCGATTGCTGACGGGATATTGCTTCTTTTCCTTCTCTCTCTCCTTAGACACCATTGACCTGCAGAATCATCAGTCGCCCTCTGCCCAGGACCACTCGAGGAAAGGAGGCACATCCTTTTCCGCTGACGGCCGCCATGGATCGCACCAAGACCAGTCCCTTCGTAGAGTAGAGCAGGAGGAGCAGGATGAGATGGCAAAGGGTCCGTTGGAGTCGGATGGGAACTCTGAGATATATTCTCACCGCGACGGACTTGAGGTATACCGGGAACATGGCGATGTGGATGGTGATAAGCCCAATGGGCTAGGAAACGGTGACCTGTCTCACGAGTCGAGGAATGGAAGCTCTACGGAGGATGAGGTGGAGGTTGATGAAGACGATCAAGACCTGGACGACGATATGATGGATAAGATATCGAGCTCTCCGTCTATTGACGATGGTGTGTAATCCGTCTACCCTTTTTTTTTTTTACCGCCATTTTTGAGCATGGGAATACTGATATACAGAGCAGAGGACATTGATTTCGAATTCGTCTATGCCTTGCATACTTTCATCGCGACCGTGGAGGGCCAGGCGAATGCCACGAAAGGTGATACCATGGTTCTTCTTGATGACAGCAACAGCTATTGGTGGCTGGTTCGTGTTGTCAAGGACGGGAGCATAGGTAATCTACCATACGAACCCTTCCTATATCTATATACGCCAATTTTGACCCAACTATATAGGCTACCTGCCGGCTGAACATATCGAAACCCCCACAGAAAGACTGGCCCGTCTCAATAAACACCGTAATATTGATGTATGTGTATTAAACCCCTGGCTGCTGTTGTCTTCTTCCTGCTAATTCATATGCCTGCAGCTATCCGCCACTATGCTAGGCGACAATGCGGAGAAATCAAAGAACCCCCTAAGAATAGCCATGCGCAGAAGACACGGTAAAACCGTTACCTTCAACGAGCCGCTCTGCTTTGAAGCTGAAGAGGTTCCAATTGACTATTCAACAGGCTCAGAAGAGGAAGAAGAGCACTTCCTGGAAGATGACGATGAAGAAGAGGAGGACGAGGAAGAGGAGGATGAAGATGAGGTACATGAGAAGCCTGCGCAGACGATCAAGCAAAAGGAAGACGTCTCGAGGAAAGATGAAGACATGGCTGTCCAGCCTCTACGGCCGAAACAGCAACAGAAGGAGCTGGCCACATCGATTGATGATCGATCCGAGCCCAAGGAAAGCATGGAGGAAGATAATGATGATTTTGGCAAAGGTGAGTTCCAACTTTTTTGCGCCTCCTCTCGCATTGTGGAGCATGCGCTAACAGACCAACTAGACCTTCCACACGGCCGATCTAGGAACGGGGTGGTGCGCAATACAGACTCATTCTTCAAGGATGATAATCTCGAGACGAAGAAAATCTCTCTCACCCCCAACCTTCTCCGTGATGATTCAATTACGACACAGCAACCCGACAAGGACGGCAGAGTCCGCGGAAGCTTTGAATCATACGAGAAAGCGTCAGTCTTTGACAAGAGTAAAGATGACAAGAAACGCAAAGACAAGAAACCAGGGATGCTTAGCGGACTATTTAAGAGGAGGGACCGCAAGACCAAGGTCACGGACGATGATGACGACCAAGAAAAGGTCTCTGAAGAGTCTACCCGATCGATTACTCCAACCAGTACTGTGAATGATCATTCCAAAGAAGGACCTAAACCTCCACATACCTTGCAAAGGACCCCAAGCAAGCTTCAAAAACAGCCTCCCGGGGAACAACAGGCCTCCGGTGCGAAGAACGAACAACATGGGCGATCAGCCACAAAACAGGAGACTGCCGCACCCCAGTCACCACCAGCAGCTAAACAAAACTTCCAGGCTCCTGTCCAGCAATCATCACAACAGCAACAACTACAACAGCAGCAGCAGCAGCGGGCCCAGCAGCGATCCACTCCTACTCGGGATGCACAAGTACGATCTCCAGACGTATTCAAACCGCTCACCAACATGCAAGATAGACCAATCCAAGAGAAGTCCGAGACCAGTGTTTCTCCCATCAAAGAGCCCCATGGCTTATCTGAATCCGCAACAGATCTTCCCAGCCACTCGTCAGCAAAGCAATCACAGCACCAATATTCTTCCTCGCAAACTTCAACATATTCTGCGCACTCAACCAAGAAATCAACTCTCATATCTCAGCATGTAGACCCAGTTCAGCAAGACCGTGAATTTACCTTTGACGATAACTTTGAGGACCACAACACATCCGCTGACAAGGACCATTATACCCCCAAGCCCACTGTTTCACCTTCTCCCACAGCTTCCCCCGCCTTCTCTCAAGATCCTACCCTCGAGGATGACAGAAGTCAAGAACAATCCATATCACCATCTACGAGTATCCCCCCTGCCTGGAACGACAGCGGACTGCGCGCCTACATGGATGATGGCAGTGATATCCGTGATCTCCTAACCATCGTACACGACAAGTCCAACGTACCCGCTGCGGGCCCAGATCATCCACTGGTTGGAAGCCTCTTCAAGGAAGAAAGCAAAGCATTGAATGAAATGTCTACCCGCTTGGATGAAATGCTGAATTCTTGGTTAACGAAGAGCTCGCTCTCTTCATAGAAAACGCCTGGCCATCATACCCCATTCGCCAGGCCCCAGATGTTCAACTCTCGATTCCCCAACCACACACTCTTTACTCTCCCATCACTCTTTATTTTAAGACTACGACGAGAATCCCCACGACCTTATGACCGCACATACATTCTCCTTCTCTACATACAATGCCTCAAAGTCTGCCTTGGATATTGACTATCCTTTCACACACCGGACATTACATCGAACATTCCTTTGGCTCGATTCATTCCTTCATTGCTTCAATTTCCACGGTCAGATTAGCCTTGTACTTATTACTTCATATTTAAATTTACATGATACCTATTGCCGTTTTATGTTAGTTTTCTTTTCATCTCATTCTTTTCTTATGTTTCCTTTTATGTCATTTTTTCGTGCTTTGTGATGATTTAGCGGGGGCTCAACCTGTCTTGATGAATTTTTTATTCTTTTCTCTGGGAAATATTCCAACCCACGGTGGCTGCATGTCATTTGTTCCAGTGTGGCATTTTCTCCTTTATACACCCTTTTTGGGGTTTATATCTATCATGCTCATGCCCTGTCATTGTTATGGACATTTTCTGGAGTTTAGCTATTGGGTTCTTTCTGGACTGGTGCCATAGCCTCAACTAAATTTACCATTTTTATATTCCTTTATACTAAGTATCAATCTTTGTGCTCATTTATCAGCAATATACCAAGAAGATCAGACATCCTTATTGTATCGTTGAACGTTCTATCGACCACTTTATTGAATTTATGAAGCAATTGGTGAATATGCGAAAATCTAAGTAACCAAACCTGTATCAAACATACGCTCGCACTCCAAAGAGCAAAGCCGTATAAACGCATAGACAGCTCTCGTTAACTTCATTGATTCATAGCAAGCCGGCCCTTGCTGTCATCTTCAAGTGGAGGTAAGCCATAAACCCAGGTATCAAAGTCATACATGCTAAAATCGATCTTCCCATGGTCATCAGTTGGTAAGGGAGGGTAGGTTTGAAGCTCCCATTTGTACTTTGGACGATCTGTTTATTTATCAGCTCTGGTTCATGGCCTGAAAATGCTAAAGTTGTATTGCTCGATATCAACTCACCTTTACTACTATTACTACCCGTAGCATTAATCAGGTGTTTCCGTTTAACCTTGTCGGCCAGGTCTTGGTTCACAAGCACGAGAGCAACATTTTGCCATCCGGCAGATGCGACGCTGAGCGCGAAATATGCACCTAGGCCATCTGGGTCCTCAGCTTTAATGTCTGGGTAGTTGTCCCAGTTATCCCCTGCCCTTTCCACACAAGTACTGTATTCCTCCATAAGCCCCTGGCGATTCTCCGTCAGCGGCGTAAGCCAGTCCGAACTACCATCTCTGGGTGCAGCTTCATCAGTCAAGTGTTTAAGCCATTTCTGTTTCTCAGGTTCAAACCAGACGTTGTGCCGTTTATCTTCGGCATATGGTAAATAGTACACGTCACTAAACCGACGGTTCTCGCCGTCCAAAGTAAGGCCTCGGAAAGGAATACCTCCTTGGTAACTTCCTAGACCAAGTGCACCACAACCTCGAGGCTCTCTTCCATAGCTAGAGACCTTGCCATTGGCGTGGAGTGCAGTATAGTGATAATCGCCAAATGAAATAGATATCACGTCATTGTGTTGTAACCCTGCTGGAAGCTGTGGAGATGAGGCATTGGCTGGGTCATCGACATGATTAAACGCATCATGGATAAGGTCGTTGTTCCCTACCATAACCTCTCCCGTCGATGTGAAGATGGCGAAATTGCGAAAAGCCCCCTGGACATCCTGTAATATTCTCCCTGGCGCGCTGAACTTGGACAATTCCACCATACGCCTACTATCCGCTTCCATTGCATACACCTTATTCAGGTCTGTAATGAAAACAATATGTGCCTCGAGCACTATATAATTAACAACCTCACCCAATCCGGCATCCTCATCGTCCTCCGTCCGGTTTCTGTTGGATTTTGAGCGTTGAAAAGCGGTACCTGGTACAATTTCACCAGTAACCATTAATAGAACAGGGTCAGCTTGCCCAGAATGCGGTCCGTGGATCTTCCAATAAACAATTCCTGTTCCAGTGATAAAGGCTGAATTTATATCCCATCCTGCAACGACTTTTGTGATGGTCCCTGGGGTGGAAGGATCTTGCGAGTTTAGAATCGTTCTGGCGCAAGAAAGCTCAACAAGTCTGGCATTGTGGTCCCGGTGAAACCAGCTCCATATCATCCCCTCATCTGATAACGCGAGGATGTGACGTCTGCCGGAGGAGAACTGCTTAATGGCTGTTGATTTCTGGTATGAATCTGCAGAGGTTGCAGGGTATCTCTCGTCAAAAGAGAGGCGTTTGTAGCCAGTTGGATCGGCATAATCATACTGTAGCCCGTCTATGCGGCCAGTGAGGTAGAGCTCACCGTCCGAAGTTAAGCACGAAGATGACCAGCCCCTTCAATTAACAGTTAGCGTGGCCTATACGGGTTGAGACTGAGGAGGGAGATGGTATAAAACCAACCCGCATTGCAAATCAACGATGTTTCCTATCTTAGCTGACGTTAAAGATTTTGAAGGCCATGATTTGTTCAATGAATGTTTCAACGCGGGACCAGATCCCCCCCATTCATAGACTTTTGTTTGCGTGCGGAGGTTTTTATACAGCCAGTACCATCGCGGTCCATTTGCACGTAGAAGAGGCTGAACAGGAACTCGAAAGGTCTTCGTAGTAACCTCTCGCCAGAACTCAGGGTTCTTCAGAAACGCCTCGTGGAAGAACTTGTTCACGCTGCATAGTGCAAGGAAGTCCGACACATCAAGGAGAGGAAAGATGAGGACGAGGATATCCTCAGGGAGGTCGTCTAGTTTTGCTAGGCTCATGTCTTTCTTTTGGACACTTCTCACTGCTTCTCTACAGTGTTTTAACAGGAATCTTTAAGAATCACTGTTAGTAATATTGAAGTTCGGATGAAATGAAACGGAAGAAGTATTGACGTCATGCTAACGGCTAAGTGTATGCAAGCGGTTTTCGTGCTAAAAATAAGTCCAACATGCAACATCGAAGCCTAGAAACACAACCTCTCTCAGCCCCGCGTTCACTCCTCACTGACATTCACTAAAGTTCTTCCACCAAGGTATCCTTAGGGAGTTATGGTAGTTGTTACTGAGTGAGCTACATCAAGAGGGCATGGTAGTCCCCGTGCTCCTACTCGAAGATTAACTACCAACAAGAAAGATGGAGAGATGGAAGACATCAAACCGGAAACAAATTAAGTGGAAGTCGGCCAAACGGCCCATTGGCGACCTAATCCACTCTAATGCCCAAAGGCTGGATGCGTTTTACTGTAAAAATCCTCTCGAGGATGGCATCATACACAACTATATATACTTTTGCTCCTTGATACTGAGGTTGAGTTTTATAAGCGGTTGGCCAGACGAGAATTTCGCTACTCAGTGCGAGGGTTTAAAATGAGCCAGCTCTCTTAAACTATCCACTCGTTTTTGTTGCAAAGTCAGGAATTAGTCTTCATCGTTATCACTTGTGCTTCAGCTTAACTATGCTAAGTAGTGGCTTGGTGGAGAATATCGGATAGTTCGTCCTTTGAGTTCCAAGGTTTTATTCATAGAAATTGCCAAAGAAATTTATTCCAGTACAGAAAGGAGACCTCATTCCTCCAAATCAATCGGTCATCTTGAAAAGTATCCCAGCGATGGATTTAGAATCCTGGATTCTGGTTCAATGGCGAGCTAAAACATGTCAACTTCGATAACTAGTGACGGAATTGGCCAGATTTTGAACACTTACAAGAACTACTCGCATACATATCCATCATCGATCTTGCACTTTCCGTTGCAGCAGGCGAAGCTGCCCAGGCAATGTTCACCAGATTCTATCACCGGTCAATATCAATCTCGTAGCAACATCACGTATACTATGAACATACTGCCACATAACGTCGATGCCTCCGAACGAGTTCCAAGTGTGCCCGCTGCCACAGTCGTAGCAAGAAGAGCCGAAACGGCGATGGCGATGATATTGAACTGCATGATTGAATAGATGCGTGGAGTGAAGAAAGGTGTGTTATGAGTTGGTGTTGATGAAATGATTTATTGAAGTGAGTTGAATATGGACCAGGAAACAGCACCCTTTTATAGAGTGGGCGGATTGATAGATCATTTGGCCGGTCAATTAAAACTTGGTGAAATGCACACTCGTCGTGCTTCAACCTTGTCATTCTCAGGGGATGCTGAGAATATATTGACTGTATTACAAGGGATGCTTTGATGCAAAGACCAGACTTACAACACCGAGTACGAATAGAATATAGCTGTCTTGTGCCCAATTGTTACTGTTTCTCATGGGTGTACATAGTTGCTTACGGAATGTTGTTGTTACTAGCCCCGGAAACACGAGGATCAGCAAGAACTAGCAACTGTGAAGGGATTATCAGTAAATGTTAGTAGAGGTGGCGTTTGCTCACCAGCCGGATGACAGGAAGGGCAAGGGAAAGGGGCCACCAGATGTCAAGGCCTGTCACACGAAAGTGAGGGATTAGTATATCTTGAAACGATAGATGTATACAGAAGTGCTTGGAAGGATATCCTGTTGCATAGACATTTGAAAGACGAAGTTTGGCGGATGGCCGGTTGCGGAATATTATGTATGTACTATGGAGGTGATACTACCACTTATTTGAAATTCAGTGTAGAGTAAGGCTTTGTTGTATCACTAGAATTGAGCGTCTTCAACCGATGAGATATGATGCGCGATGATATTAAAGCATGGTTTAGTGATAACCATGAGAACAGAGTATAACAGCCGGGCAACAGATAACCTTGGACCCGTATGAGGTCTGTGTATTTATATCATAACTCCGGGGATTCCTCGGCTTGTCGGGTTAGTTTAACTGTTTAACTTGACATAAAGAATCACGCCGTTCCTATAGGCTATATATACAGCCAATCATCCAAAAACAAGACTGAGATATGACATATTAAACGTAAACACATATCCACTTACAGAGCGGCAGAACCAACCACGTACGGATAGGCTCATGGGATGATGATCAACAGGCTGCGGCAACTTCCATGAACAGGGCCATGACCCTTGGTTCGCGCCTCACACTGTACCACAGATAGGTTCTGTGATTCCATGCATCTATAAGACTTGCCGAATCCGGAGATACCGAACACAGCGATAGCTCAGAGTATATATAGGGTATATTCTTCCATACTTTAATATAATGTGCGCAGTCTATAACCATCGACACTGTATTCGTTAGTATCCTTGCTTCCCTCTTCCATGACCCTGCTGACGTCAACAACACCTTGACATATCGAGAAGCCATCAACATCTAGCAGCTTGCATCCTAGGATTTAAATATGCTTCTTCCAGTATCCCACGTCATAAAAAGGGGATCATGTTGGATGGCAAAGAAGCAGACGACAATGTTGCCAGCCTAGTATTTCAACCCGGAAGGCCAAAGCACATCAAGGATCTAGCCGTCGTTATCTAATCTCTATCTCGGAGCCCTCCTCATGTTGATAGAAGGCCGGTCTCAGTCGGGCTGTCATCTCTTTTGTCCTTCTCCGCTCTTCTCCTGTCAGGCTCTTATCACCAACATATCACGTGATCAATATCCTACACGTGACTGATCTTGGCAGCCTTATCTTAATATAAGGTTCCTTACATAAGGTTATCGGCGTTAAGGTTTTTTGGGTTCCTTCTGAGCCGTCGTTGATACTTTTCCCCCTTGGGTCAGCATGACGGAGTTTCGGGAGCGTGACGAGGTCACAGCGCTTCTTCATCTTCTCGTCTCTCTCTTATCTCAACCTCTCCATTCGTCTAGGTCCAACCGTCTCTCACACCAACTCGCGAAGTGTCTCTCTTTTATCTCCCTGGTGTTGGTTGCGTCTTCTTTTTCTGGTAGCCTGTCACACACCCCTGCTAATAAATCGTCCCCGCATAAGGAGACACGTGTGACTCCTCAACTCCGCTTATAATACGGTCGACAGCCCTTTAAGGCGCCTCAACGCCGTATTATTATTATTATTATTTTTTTTTCAGAGGTGGTTGAACTGTCTGTCTGTCTTTGGGACATATTATCCTTCAAGACACTCGCTATCAGTTGCCAGTCTCAAGAACAGTTTCAGGGTTCCAGAGTTTTCTTTGGCTTGTGCCACCCCAGCCGGACTTGTCATATTATATATCATACCAGCCAGCCTCGCTCGTCGCCACATATCTTCATTCATTCAGCCAACTCCATCGTCTGCCTTCGTTTCTGTGCTGGGAATGGGAAGAAACAACACCTTGTAGTCAACGGACGAACAAAAACAAAACCATGCCTTCAGCATGGTCAGCATACCACGGTGCTCTTCCTGAGCATTGCGAGCCAGCGTCTCCCTTCTTGGAACTGATCTCATCCGTTCTACAAATATGCCTACCGACTCCGCTTGCTCTTATTTCTTCTACACTGGGGGTGCTGAGTATCATCTCCTGGCTCTTTGCCCAGCTTCCGCAGATATATAAGAACTACAAGATTAAGTCAACGGCAGGCTTGTCCATATTTTTCATTGTCGAATGGCTTCTCGCAGATACCGCCAACTTCATTGGTGCAGTTCTTACGAACCAGGCTGGCTGGCAAGTCACGATTGCCGCTTATTACATACTTGTCGACCTTGTCATGACCTGCCAGCACTTTTGGTACACCCATATTAAGCACTGGAAGCCAAATCGTCTTCGATACGCAACAATCAGTGGTGACGATGACAGCGATGTGGATTTCTCACCTTCAGACAGTGACTCATTCCAGGAGTTATCTGCTTCCCAACATGCATCTTCTGCTCGCCCGTCAGATGAATCGAAGACGGACGGAAAACAGTCATGCAATGAAAAGGCTCAACCTCAAACGGCAAAAGGGAAACGTTATGTCAAATCAGGGGCTGCCGGAAACTCACTTACTTCTACCAAAGCTGTCTTGTTTGTTTCTATGCTATGTGCAGTTCTAGCCAACGCTGCCTCGCTTCCAGCTCCTGACGCTTCACGGTCACACCCAATCACAACACCACCGCCCAATACAAAAGAGTTTGTGGGTCGGATATTCTCTTGGATTTCTACTATCCTTTACCTTGGATCACGGCTACCACAACTATACAAAAACTACAAGCGCAAGAGTACCGCTGGCCTATCTCCGTTACTCTTTGTAGCTGCCTTTTGTGGAAACACATTTTACTCCTCCTCTTTACTCACCAATCCGAATGGTTGGTACAATTTCCCCCCATACGGTGGAGGTGGATGGGCCGGTCCAGATGGAAACGATCGAATTAACTGGATAATACTCGCAATCCCGTTCTGGCTTGGAGCTACTGGTGTCCTCCTACTAGACGTATGCGTAGGTATCCAGTTCATGAAATATGGAGAACAGAGGAAGCAGATTGTTACCCGTGTAGGAAGAGGGCGCCATAGATGGACCAGGGTCACTGGTTTCATGAAGGGCTGGATCCCTTCACTGTCCCCCGAGAGAAATGCGCCAAACACCGAGACGCAGGCTCTCATTTCCCGGGAGGGTGATAGATACGGCAGTGTTTAAACGTCGACTCGCCGCCTTTACCATCTATTATATATACACCGTATATATATGCCTTCCGTTTTTGTTTCTTTTTGGCTCTATTAGAGGTTAGCATGTTTTTGAACATTTTGTTAGCAAAGGTTGTTTTGATCTTCTGTTTCGCCTGTTAATAACTGGCTGATACCCACCCTTCGCTTATTTCCACATTTGTTGGTTAATTTCCTTATTATCGGCCTTCCAGGTTTTCAGCTTATATACGTACATACCATGCACTAGGGTTTCCCCCTCTTTCTAGACAACGAGAATCCCTCGAACTTCCTGCACAATCCTCAAATATTTTCTTCCTCCATACTGTTTATGCTTATATTTTGCTGTATTTTTCTACATTTCGGCATTTCAATTTAGGTACACGAGGGTCAGAAGAGCTTTTGGATTTTTATAAACATATATAGGGCCGCCCCTACTTTTCGGGTTTTTACACGCATTATTGAATGATGTTTATCTTTGCTCATTTGAATACGAGTTTTGAAACCTCCTTGCGAGCTCTTTGGTTACCCTTCTCGGAAATCATGCCTTACAACATGATAAACCTCTCGTTTACACTGGATTTTAACATACGCCTGCAAAAATGCTCATGGGGGGGAGACTAACTCCTAACCCCTTTCATTGACTGATCTATTCCTATGCCGCATTCTCTATGACCCAAGCCCAGAGCTCCAAGGAGAAATCATATTTGAAGTACCCCTAATGTATATACCCTGTGCCATCCCCCCCCCCCCCCCCTCCTTTATCTCCAGTTCACCCATTTTCGACTGACATAACTATGAAAAGAAAATAACAGAAGTCTTGCCAACTTGTTATCGAATAAAGGATAATGCGGATTCTTAACGCTTCCTACAGTTGCGGCATGGTCCCCAGCTGGTAGGAATACGAGTAACTCGCTTGCAAGGGAAGGATGGATGTCCACGGCGAGCGCAGGAATGGAACCCGCCGACTTCAGTATGTCCACAGGAGCATTGGCGGATGGTTTGATGACACATTGTAGCCTTGAGATGTTTGGTTTGTCTTGAATGGGAGAAGGCTGATTATGGAGGTGGACCTATGGTTGATGCATAAGCAAAGGTTATATCCCTGGCATTTTGGGTCTCGGTTATCCTCACCTTGGACAAATTGTTGGTTGGAAGAGAGTATTAATCGATATAAAGTATTGTTTTCTGATAGTTGATGAACTTGATGATGATAACTTTTGGTGTGGAAGAGAGGTCTTTCTGCAGAACAGAATTTGCCTGGTATATATACCCCCTTCCTTTGGCTGGAGTGATGCCTTGAGCGGATTTGGCCGAACAACGGAATATTGAGTTACGTGTGAGAGGAATCTGTGGCAAGCATTCTTCATTAATCCATGAATCAGTCGCAGTGAGAAGTGCAAAATAGTATATGTGGTTAATGATTAAACGGCGCATTGAAGCCTTCAGTTCATCGATAGTTTCCTTACAGGCATGACAGTTAAGAAACCTTGCAGAAGCACTCTCTTATCAAGCAGTTAGCCTAGAATGATGAAGCAGTGATAGTAAATGCGAGTCAATGTTACCTCAAACCTCTCGGAACAAGCCAACATCCAAGTGTACAAATATGGAGAGTTAGAGTTCCATAAAGGGGGCTGTATATGCTTTGAAGAATTAACCAAATGAGGCATCTATGATATATATATATGAGCCAACTACTCACCACAGAACAGCATTCGGCACAAGGATAATGGTTTCTTTGGTAACATTATGAATATTAGGCCCAAGTCCCTTTATACATTTATGTATGAAGGGCGTGAAGAAGACACTGTTTCACTGCCTATAATAGGTAATAGTGAATATCTGAAAAACTGGTTGTAGTACTTGGTAGATTAACTAGAACCACTAAAGTCATCTATAGCACATCCCCGTGGCCTAGACTGTACTCTGTATCCCGTACTGTAGCATAAAAGAGGAGAATCCCACTGACAACGAGCCCTGCCATGTCATGCATGTGTATCTGCAACATGCAGACACCCTCAAGTTGCAATAGAGCAAAGAGCAAACAATTAAGTATATTATTGCCATTGTATGCTTCCATTGGTGATGGGCAGGAAGAGCAGAAGGGAGGTCACCAGGAGAATATCCGAAGCCTTCCGGGGATGTCTTACGGCACCATGCAAGATCTATGCGGGTAAGGAACAGGAAACTGACTTGGTTGGCCTTAGATGTACACTGCTCGTATGGTGATCTGCAACGTCAAAGTGTCGTTCCGTCAAGTTCCTTCGACGGGATTGTATGACATCGCATGGATGAAACCGTTTTTAGTTATCAATGTAATTGTTTGTTTATCCAGTGTTGCTGGGCTATATAAACCAATTTCGGTTCCGTTAAGGGTTGAGCAAAATATCATATTTTGAGCTGGATACACACAGTTCATAACTGTATCCCCTGGTACGTTGTTTAGGAAGCAAAAGAGACTTATTCTCAGCATTCATGCAAAGAAAATCGAGGGCACGTCCACCCGATTACCTTTCCCTCAGAATGAGCTGGCTGAAGCTGATAGGCTACTTTGTAACACGAAGCGCTGAGAGAAGGTCATGTAGACGATCTCGACCGAGAATGCATGCTCACGATGCAGGTTCCCAAGGAGCTCTGATCGATTATCTCGTAAATGCAGCTGCTTCCGGCGCTCCTCTCAGTCAATCAGCGAACGGTTGATAAGAAATAGTTGACACTTCACATTTCTGTGTGATAGAAGTCACAGTGGCTGGTCCATGCAAAAATGCATTGAGGGTCGCGTCAGCTCTCTTCCGCCAGGATCGAGAGATGTGAATGGTTGATTGTTTGCTTTGGGCGGGTTGGCTTGCATGGTTTGGTTTCTGGCTGGATTGATGGGGAGGAAGAGTGCATGGTTGGCGGACTCGACCGTCAGACGTGCTGCTGTGTTCCTGGTGAGATTCATCGGCAGCTCCTACTGGTGCTCGGGTGCGGATAAGTGTATATATACATACATACATCCACGGTACATGTGTGTTTTATCGCTCTTCGGGATAGAGCAGGATACGAAAAGTGACGAGAAATGTAAGGCCAAAAAGAAAAAATGACAAGATGGGTTGCAAAATATCATTAAAATATGGGTCTATTAATATTATTATATTCTTTCACCATGCGCCCACACGCCCACTCAACTCATTGACACATTCCAAGGTAACAAATCACAATCACACATCACACATAGAAGCCTTGTGCATACCATAAGAGGTTTAACCACAACCCAAGCTGGCCAAGCCCAGATCAAGTTGATAGGCAGCAACGGTATGCCTGGGCTTTATAGTCCCTTTCTATTGCTTTCTTGGATATTAACAAGGTATAGGAGGTATTGGGGGGAAGCAAATAGGTAAAGGTTGAATGTACACAGAGAGGATATTTAAATGCATCCATTTCATATGCACATTCAATGTAGCAAACCATCCTGGGAGAAATAAGGGAGGAGGGAAAAGGGAAGATCTCGAGGTAAAAAAAGCAAGAGTAAGAGAAAAATCTAGGAGACCGTGGTATGGATCAGGCTATGCCAACCAAGAACGAACGCAGAGAACGCCATTGAAAACGGGACTTCACTTTGGACATCCGCACATGCAATGCAATGCAATACAAGAGGCATATTGTCTCGGCGTGACTGCCACTCTCATGGGTGGCGAGGCGAGTATTGTAGCGCCTACCGTAACGGACGCTTGGTATCCTGGACGCCCCTGGCTATGACATCCTCGTATCTCCACCGTGGAGGAGCAGGCCCCTTGGGAGATGCGGCTTGCTGACGGTACCATTCAGCTTCCATTTCTGGCGTCATGCCATCTGGCGGTGGAAGCGCGCCACCAGCGACACCGCTGGAAAATTTGAGCTGCAGGATGTTCCCAATCTCATCACAGGCCGCGAGTAATCGATCAAGATCATCCTTGGTGTGGGCGGCGGAAACACAAAACCTGGCACGGGAAGAAACAAGGGGCGTAGCAGGGTACCCAACAATAACGACAGATATCTTGCGCTTCAACATCTCGTGTGAGAAAGCAGGCATTTTTGCGGGGTTGAAGAGCAGAAGCGGAATTACAGGGGAATCATCATTTCCGTAGACGATGAAACCGAGTCGTTTCAAACCTAGGCGGAGATAACGTGAGTTGAAAGCCAATCGCTGAAGCCGTTCTTCACCTTGACCAGGGACAAGTTCACCGGTGATGATCCGCAGAGACGAAGAGATCTGAGCGAGAATTGGGGGCGTTGGGGTCTCGCCATAGAACACAGCAGGGTTGGTGGCTCGAAGTTTGTCGATTATTATCTTGTCAGCGGCAATGTATCCTCCATTAGCGCCGAACGACTTGGTAAGGGTGCCCATGAGAATGTCCACGTGCTTCGTGTCAATGCCGAAAAAGTCGCAGATTCCGCGTCCTCGAGGGCCAATGGCACCGATAGAGTGTGCCTCATCGACGAAGAGATTAAACTTGTACTTCTTCTTCAGGGCAAGTATTCCGGGCAGATTGCACAAAGAACCTTCCATAGAGTAGAGTCCCTCGACCACAACAAGGATCTTCTTCCACGGACGGTGAGTTCGGGGCTGACCTTGAGAGATGGCTTCCCGCAGACGTTTC